CATGATTAATTTAGAATGTTTGTGTAAATTGAAGAAAAGGTTTTTCTAAATAAGAAAACAGGAGAAAGGCTAAATAGATACTTCTCTGCACTAAGAAGAATAAACAGGACACTAAGCACCCCCCTTCTCACTAGCTCCACATCCCACCTCCCAGAATTAGTTCTTGGATCATGCTTATTGATATAACATCTTAAGTAAGAGCACTGGGCTTTGTAATTGAATGCTCAGCTCTGCCACCACCATCTCAGTCCTTGAGGAGGATGATTTAATTTCTCTGTGCCTTTGTTTCCTCTTAGAATTGCTGTAAGTATTAAATAAAAGAATGTTAGTGAAATCTTCAACACACTATTCCATAGTAAATGCACAGTAGAGGATAAACTATGTTCTTATGCCATTATATCATCTTCATCATGATCATCAGCATCTGAAAATGATCTGAAGAAAAGGACCACATGGTGACATTTCCAACTTTGCAGGTGATAATGAAGAACTAAATTGATGGGTGTAGACCATGGGAAGTGAGAAGAAAATGGCAGGTACCTTCAATTTAGGCAGGTTTGAACTAAACCATTTGGTCAAGAGAAGCTGAAGTTTCCTTTACACATACATTCTGAGGAAGACCCAGAAAATAGGAAGAGCCAATGGAGAGAGCTCCCTAAAAACCCAAAGCCTAAGCTGGATGCTAAATCAAGTTCCTTGGGTCAGTTTTTGGCAGCACAATGCCAGATTCAGTGAATCTCATCTGGCAGGAAAGTATTTGGGCTTCATTTTGTAGTGAGTCATCCCATTTCCCACTGCCTCTTGTCCTCCTAAATGTTCAGCTCCTGGGCTGATTCCCCTTATGGTGTGGCTTAGAGTAGACAATTGTTGGAATAGAAATACTGCCAATGCATCTCTCAAATAGATCATTGTATCCTAATATTAATTAATTCAGGAAAATGAGGGAGATAAAGGCCACTGGAGCCAAGACAGGAACTGAATGGACAAGGAGCTGAGATGGAGCTAATTGAGTGGATTGAGAAAACAAAATAGCTTGATTGAAAGCTGAATGCCATTTTAGTACCTTGTGTTCCATCTTTTATTCATTTGTTTCAGGCCCTGGTTTGTTTTTTTTTGTTTGTTTGTTTGTTTGTTTGTTTGTTTTTGTGGGACCCTCGCCGGCAGCCCGAGAACTAACCGGCACTGCAGAGGCTGCAGGCAGCCTCACAGCCCAGCGCTCAACTGCTGCGCCACCAGGGAAGGCCCCAGGCCCTGGTTTTTGTCCTGAACAAATTCTTCTAGGTTTCTTTTCCAAAAAATTTAGATCACCAAATTAATAACTTTTTACAGTGTTGTCTTTTTATGGCAAGCAACCACATTCCCCATGTTATAAGATAAGCCAGAATAAAAACCATCTCTGTCTGAGGGTGGTCCTGAAGCGTGTCATGCCAGAGGGTTTACTTAGAAGGGTGGTAAAGATTTGAGCAGACTAGAAGGAGGGACAAGAGTATTTTGGGGCTCTTGCCCACGCTGAAGAGGGCAGAGCTAACTCTCAGCGTCAGTGAGCAAACAGATTGACTGGTTCAGGTAACAGAAGAGCATGTGATGATGCCAGACAACTCTATTTGTTCATTAACAGCAGGTAAGCTTCAAGTTTGGAAGCAAAATTTTCTTTAAAAATAGCTGTGTGTTAGCCTTGCACCCCAGAAGGAAGGGAGAGGAGAAACCCAATGAAAGAACATTCCTTGAGGAAACAAAAATTTCAGGAAATAAAATAATTTAAACTCCAGCAAATATCAGAATTACACAAATCAGACTATTTCAAGCTCTTGGCACTAGTGCTTGGGAGGATGGGAAGAGAGTAGACAGAGAGAACAAAGAGCATGTAGATCCAGGAAGGCCGCCTTAGATGTGCTGTTGAGTAGCTCTTGGTATTTCTATTCCTCAGCTTCTTAACAGACTTGGGCCCTTCAGCTTGATGGTGCCAGGTGGTAAGGATGGAGGAGGTAGGGAAGCGGGAAGAAAAGAATATAGAAACACCAAATACAGAATTTTGGACATATTTCACTTTTGCTTTGAATTCATACTCCCAAGATACCAGACCTCTGAGTCTCACTCTTCCAAATAAATCACCTCAATTTTACTCTCTCCTCCTCACCAGGACCCAAAGCTTTTTGCTCTCCACTACGTAGATTCCAGACATTGGGACCTCTGGGATCTTCCTACAATAAACAGACCTTTTGTAGAAACTCAGTGTGATGAAAACAAAGCTAAAGCTAAAATTGAATAAGACAGGCTCTTCCTTTCATGCTTATTGTCTAATTTTTATTTTAATTTCCCTTCATTTGTAGGTAGGAAAATGAAGTAAAATTTTTGTTTGGGCAATTTTCAAAATATCTGATAAAGGGTTTATATCCAGAATATAGTAAGAACACTTACAAGTCCATAATCAAAAGATAATTACTCTTGTTTTTGATATGGGCAAAAGATTTGAAAAGACACTTTTGAAAGTAGAGACAAATGTCCAAAACCATATGAAAAGGTACTAACGAACATTAGTCATCAGGAAATTAAAACCTAAAACATAAGCTAACACTTCACACCCACTAGCATAGCTAAAATTAAATAGACTGGTGATACCAAATGATGGTGAAGATGTGGAGTACCTGGAACTTTCATACATTCCACTGGAGGTGTTAAATACACACCTACCCCATGACCCTCCAATTGCACTACTAGGTAATTATCAAGAGAAACAAAAGCCGGTGTCCACAGAAAGATTTGTATAAGAACTTTCACATTTGCTCTATTCATAACCAAACACTGGAAAACAACCCAAAGTTCATCCACAGTACAATGGATAAACAATTGTGGTATTTATTGAAATGCAACTTAGCAGTAGCAAGCAATATACACAACATGAATGAACCTTAAGTACAGCACATGGTACACAAGAAACAGAAGAGTACATACTGTATGGTTTTGTTCATAAGAACCCCCAGAATGGGTAAAACCACATCTGTAATGATAGGAATCAGGCTGGTGTGGGGGTGGAGGTCAGGGGCAACTGGCTGGAAAATGACACAAGTGGACTCTCTAGGGTGATGGAAAAGGTCTATATTTTAATTTTAGTGGTGATTACATCACTGCACAAAATTGTCAAAGCTCATGGAACTGAATGCTTAAAATAATACTTTATTTGTATGTAAATTATGCTTTTTTTAAAAAAGATTTATTTATACATACAAGAATTGGAGTACAGGCCAGAGGTGTGGGGGCGGTGAGAGGATTCGCCAGAGACAGAGTGAGGAGCAGAACAGGCAAACTGACTGAAACACACTGCTGAAGGGAGTAGCGGGCGAGCCAGGGGAGGTCTGCTGCGCCATGTGGGTAGCTCCCTGGCCAGGGATCAAATTCATGCTGCAGTGGCTGAGGCTAGCTTCATAGGTTGCGTCTTAACCACTTGCGCCAGCAGGGAGGCCCTGCTTCTATTTTTTTAATACAGGAAGAAAAGATATTTATAGCTCTAGACTATAAAAACTATGAAGACCTATTCATCCTATAAATTATCACTTATAAGTTATAAATTCTCTCTCAGTCTCAGCTTAACTCCCTTTTCTAGATACAGAATGTAGAACTTTTCAAAGATAGAATACAACAAAAACCTCTTTTGCCTGCCAACCTCTTGGTTCCCAGACCCCCAGGAACTCCCAACAATAAGAAGATGCTAGTCCTACTGAGTTCATTGGATTCCTTAGTTGACCTGGAAATGTGTGGGGGCAGGGGCAGGAACCTGGGACAGTGAAAGTGATGTTTTTACAGTTCCCCACCTCCACTTCAAAGAGAGCAATACACTTTCACTAAGGAAAGGTCTAACTATTGGACTATAAATAGAATCCTGTGCCCCAGACAGCAGCCTCTCTTGCAGTGTGCTTGCCTTCCCCATTCCAGTTTATATGGCCTCAGCTTGGGACCTGGCAGTGCCACCTCCCACCTGCTGTGACTGGTAACCTGGAAGGTAATGCCCTTGTCAGCTGAATTGAGTCCCAGCAGAATGAAAACCAGTACCCTGGGGCCCTGGGATAGGTGCTTGTCAGCCTGGCTTGTATTGTTATTATGTGATTGTTATTATTGAGCCTTTCCTTTCCCCACCTTGAGAAAGAGGTTGCCAGTCCCTATTCTGGTGCATTCACAGACTGCCTGGGAAGTCACATGAGTAAAGTAGCAGAAAAATAACCAACTAGCAAATTCATATTAGGTAAAGTCTCCATTCATTACATGCTTGAGTCTTCATAGAATCATTTTATGGTGCTTTATCTTTCTATAAAGTATAATCGACTTGGACTTTTAGAGGTGTGCTTTACATCTATGCCTGTTTAGTCACCATTTGCGGTGTCTGCCTTTATGGTAAAAGGTGAGAATCTTGTACAACAGAACCCAGGAACTAGATGCGTCCTTTGGGTTCAATGAACAAATGGATTATGTAACTTCAGATCATTCACCAGCTTCTCCAGTCCTCAGTTTTTTTTTTTTTAAAGAGTTTGTAAGACTTAATATTTAAATTTTTAGAGGAATAGTTGTGGCACAGTGTAGTGAATCTTTGTAGTAAATAGAAGACCTGAACCCCGTGTGCAGGTCTGCTTCTCTTCAGGAGGGGGAAGTCTGGGCAAACGATTCCATGTGTCTGAGCATCAATTTCTTCTGTAAGATCAACCTGGAGATTGCTACCCTGCCCACCTCTCTGGGTCCTTGTGAGGATCAAATGGGAGAAACTGCAATTCATCAAGCATTTGCTGCTTTTTCTTTGCTGTTGCTACAGACATTAAAACCCACAGAGAACACTTTTAAGGGCATGTGTATGTGAGCTCAAGGCAGAATTGTCCAAACATTGTCTAGGGATCAAAGAGATGGAAAGCAGAAATTGATCCAAGGGTCAATTAGTTAATAAGTCTTGCAACTGGTGACTTTGCCCAGCAGCCTCCTGGACCAGTGAGTCTGTACTGATGGTCATTCCCACACAGGTGACAGCAGAGCTCGATGCCTGGAATGAGGATCTGCTCCGGCAGATGAATGACTTCAACACGGAGGACCTGACACTGGCAGAGCAGCGGCTGCAGCGCCACACGGAGAGGAAGCTAGCCATGAACAACATGACCTTTGAGGTCATCCAGCAAGGCCAGGATCTGCACCAATACATCATGGAGGTCCAGGCCTCAGGTGAGTGACCTGGTTCTCCTGGTGAGAGATGATGAAAAAACGAATACTAGTGTGATTCGACAAGAACTTCCACTCTGTTCATTTTATTTCTATAGCTACAAGGAACAGATTTTGGCCACCATTTTAAAGAAGAAATTGAAGCAGTAAAGCTGCAGTAACTTGTCTGAGCCTGTCCAGTAGGGTCTGGTAGATGAGATTAGGGCCAGAGTCTTTTGGTGCTGCAGAGAGAATGGAAAAAAACAATAATGGAAATGAGCACAGGTTCAAAAATATGGTGGCCTAGAAAAGCAAACGAAGTGGTTTGCTCCAAAAGCAGACAGCTGTCCTTGTGAAATGCATTCAGATGTGCACCTGTCCCTGATCCCATCCCTCCTCCCTGTACACAGTAGTCCCCGGCCTTGTCCTCCACCTCCAGGAGAGGCTCCTTGTCTCCAGTTCACGCCTCTCCGAGTCCTCAGTATTTTATCACTGGCCTGTGTGTGAGTGTAAGAAGGATTGATTAAATTTATAGCAAGGGGCCTCCCCGGTGGCGCAGCGGTTGAGCGCTGGGTTGCGAAGCTGCCCGCGGCCTCTGCGGCGCCGGTTCGATCCCCGGCTGCTCCCCGGCCACCGGAGGAGGGTCCCACATGGCGAGCAGACCTCTCCTGCCGCCCGCTGCTCCCCTCAGCAGTGTACTTCGGTCCTTCTGCCTGCTCTGCTCCCCGCTCTGGCTCTGGTGAATTCTCTCACCCTCCCGTGCTTCTGACTGTACCCAGTGCATGTGTAAACAAAAACAAACAAACAAATAAATAATAAATAAATAAAAACATGCCTCTATAAAAAAAAAAAATAAATAAATAAATAAATTTATAGCAAGGATGCATATTTTTATAAGTTCTCAAAAATGGAAAAAACAAACATGGTTGTTACCATAATTGACATCTTTTATTGCTCAGGATAAAAATGTAACAAATGTGTGAGCCCATATTGTATACCTGCCATTCTCCAAAACGGGCTTTGCTGTTAGAACTGGAGAAAGCCAGACTTCTCTCTCCTGTCGTCCAGCTAGTGCAGGTAAAAGAAGTCACTCATAAGCACACATGCTAGTGGACTGCTTGAACCCAGGTCTCCACACCCAAAGCCACCCCCTTGCTCTCCTCCCTGGGGCCTCATCTGCTCAGGTTGCTGGCCTCTAGGAGGAGGCAGACAGGGGCTCAGACCAGCAACACTTTAAAGCACTGTTGATCCATGTCCCTCTTGATCATGAAGGGTTTTTATAATCATGAGATTCTTGAGCAGATACGAGCAATCACATTTGACCCTAGGGTGCTGTATTTTTTAATGATGAAAGTAAATACCAACATTCAAAGGAACTCGGAAATTATAATCAGAGGAAAGAAAACCTAGTACATTCTAATCAATTTGGTCAGCATAATCTTTCCTTAAATTTACATTTGTACTATGAACACAACAGCTGCAACTGCCTATGAGACCTCATTTATAGAGTGTACAGCTCCAGGAAGGACCATTCACATTGCAAGTCTGTCTGGGAAGTAGGTTTTTTGGTTTGTGTATTTTTTTTGGTACTTGAAAATTTATTTTATTTTTTTGCATTTTTTTTATTTTAACATTTATCATTTTAAAATTTTTTTTAAATATTTGCTTCCTCCCACCCTCTCAGATTGAGTCCCCATAGAATCTCCTTCCCCAAGGCACCCGTGCACCATCACCACAGTCCCCTGTGTTCCTCCCTCCCTCCCTCCCTCTGACTGGGAAGTGTTTTAGTAATGAGAATGCCCTGGCTCCACTCCCTGCTATTCTGATTTAATTATATCTGAATGGGACTTGGGCATCTGCACAAAGGTCCTCAGGTGACTCCACTGTGCAGCCAAGGTTGAGAACTGCTGCTTTTCATCATGATGATTACATCACAGCATCTGATACCATGGAAAGCTTTAAGACAGTGACTCCCAAATGTGATCCCTATTCAGCAGAAATGTGAGTTCACAAGCCATCCTTAGTACTTGCCACATCAGAAGCTCTTGGTCGGGGCTCCAACGATAGGCGTTTCAACAAGTCCTCCAGGTGCTTTTAATGCACACTAACCTGGGACCACTAACCTCGGAGCTGCTCCGAGTGAGGGCCCTGGACAAGCAGCACTCTGAGAGCTGATTAGAAATGAAGAATCCCATACCTTACTCCAGACTTACGAAATCTGAATCTACTTTTAGCAAAATCTCCAGGTAAATCATATGCCCTTTATTGTGTTTCAGAAGTCCTTTCAGAAGGACTTGGCCACAGCCAGTCCTTTTTCAAGGCTTATTAGGGAAGTGGGGAGCTATCCTTTCTCCATGGTTGGGAACCTTATTTGGACTCAGGGTTTTACCCTGAGTTTTCCTCAGGATGGTCACAATAGTCAGCTACCCAACTATGACTGGGAACTAGGCGAGAACGCACAGTACCCAGGAGAGAGGCTGCGACAGAGAAACCCTTCAGGGATGGTCATCCCGCATCCCTCAGTATCGATGTGTCTAGCAGGAGAGCTTTGTCTGCCTGGAAACTTCAGGCATTTAAGACCAGGGTCCTGGCATGACCTGGACAAGCCCACTTCAGTCGCAAGAGTCAGGTATCCATGGTAACAAAAAGACTGTAGGGATCTGGCAGTCTCTAAAGACTGGGGGCTGGCTGTGCTTGGCGGCCACCTTAACCATGAGGGCTGAGTGGGTGAAAACACCCCAGGCAGATGGGCTGCCCACCCCCACAGTATCCTGTTCTAGAAACAAGCTTTAACAAGAGAGGCTTCATTGGCCTCTCCAACCCTTTGCTGGGACTGGCTGTTCCCAAGTTCCTACCATAGCTAGCTGTTAGTCTGGCATAGCCCCTGAGGCTTTGAAGGGAATAAATCCAGGGGTTTAAGGAAGGCCCACTTCATCTTCTGCTGGATGCTTAGTCCTGCAGAGGAGGCCTCTATCTTACCTCTTGCTTGGCGAAGGGAGAACTGAATCACACCAGATCTGGGAGGTGGGGGTGGATCCAGCCTGGGCCTTGCCCCAGGTATAGGGGGACTGCAGGATTTCAAGACCCTGGACTAAGACAATAAATGACTTGGGCATTTACAATGTATATCTACATTTGAACTAAAGGTAAACTCTTATTATAGAAAAAGGACAATTAGCAAAATTAAGAATCTGGTTGGTATTTAGCCCTCTGTGCTAAATTAAGGGTATAGGTTGGAGAGGAAGACTGCCTGGGTTAGCACAACAGCCACACCTCTTACTACCTGCATGTCCTTGAGCATGTTGTAAGGGCAGGAATGGACACAGTGCAGGTTTTCTGATCCCATGCAGACCATAAGATTATCTGCCCCCCCCCAAGCTCCCAAACAGCAGCACTCAAAGCACTTAACCCCCCCCCCCACCCCAGACAGAGGGAATTAGGAACTCCTGCTGTCTCTCCTGCCTTCTCTCTTCCCCAAACTACCCAATGCTTCAGCAGGAAGTTTCCATGGAGAGTCTCCTCTGTTTTTACATTTATGGAGTAGGGGAGACTCTCCTCTCCTCCCCAGTTAAAGTGTTCTGCGCATGTGGGAGAGGTTTCCACAACTTCAGGCCTAAGTGGCCGGGGAACAGGTGTCCATTTGGTCTCAGGTGCTCTAGTCAAAGCTCTTAGCAGACACCCCAGGGACAGCCCCTGGGAATAGATAGTAAAGTGCCTGCACACCTGTAGGCATCTGTAAAGCAACCAACCCATTCCGAGCAGGTTTATGAACGGTTCTAGCAGCCACATGCTCTTCGCCGTGGTTTGTAGTTGCTGCACTCCTCCGTACACTCCACTCCTCCACCCTTAACACCGCACTACCACCACACCGCACTCTGCTGCACCACCCTTATAAATCAGTCTCTTAGCTCAGGTGTACCCACTTCAGGTGCCCGCCATCAGGCATGCACCCAGGATCACAGGGCTCCCTCATCTATCCTGATGGCGGAAGGGCAGAAAAGCCTGATACCTTTTACCTACCCTACACATGTCATCTGACCTCTCTGAACCTTGCCTTCCTCTAGAAAATGGTGATCATAGCAATACGTATGGTCGCTGTGAGACTGCAGTGGAGTAATTCATGGAGCATGGTCGAGGTTGATAAAGCTTGATAGCTATTACATATTATGCTAGTATTCTAGTACTTACTGCATTCTGGGGTTATCTGTGACCTTGTGTCTTCTCCAGCAACATGAGATCAGGAGATGCTTCCTTTTCTTTACATGTCCAGCATCTGGCAGAGTGGTTCATCTTGCACATCTCCAAGTTCTTAATGGTAATGTTTGCTGAATTAATCAAGAATGAACATCAGTGTGGGTAGATGTAAAGTCAGGAATGGACCAGTGCAGGTTTTCTATGATCCAGCAGACTGGGTAAAGGAGGAGTAAGAGTCCTCAGTGGTTTTTGCAGGCTTTTACTGGGATTTATCTGGTACACAGCAGGCAGGGATGCTGGGGGGCCAGGAGGCTGGCAGGCCTCCCAGCCCCCAGTAAGTCTTCACTCCATCTGGGCTCTCTGGCCTTCTCTGCTTCTTTCTCGGCTTCTCTTTCAGCTTCTCCTGCTGGTGTCCCCGTGACGCCACCCTTAAAAGCCCAGTCTCAGCCCAGGTGAATCCCATCTACGTATGCCCACACCCTACTCCAGGTGCCCGCCATCAGGCATGCATTCAGAACCTCAAAGCTCCATCATCTATCCTGATGGCGGGAGGGCAGAAAAGCCTGGCATTTTTTTCTTTACCCTACAGTAGATGTAGGTAACAATAATAGACTTTTGTGTCACAAAAGGAAAGAAAAACGCTGTGTATTTTCGAAATGAAAGTTACTTTGGGCTTAATAGGAAGGTGAATCTGGTGGGGTTTGAGAGGAAAGGAAGGGAACCTCCATGTAAAACAATGGTTTTGCCTGGCTGCGTATTTAGCATCACCTGGAGAACTTGTCAGATGCACCAAGGTCTGGGCCCACCCCTCAGGGATTCTCACTAATTGGTCTGGAATGGGCGCTGATTTTTTTTTTTTTACAGCTTCCCAGGTGATTCTAATATAAAGCCAGGCTTGAAAATACTGATCTAATAACCTGATTAAAGGACTTTGTAATTTCTGAACTGAGTGTTATGTTGAGGGAATGACACAGAAAGGGTGGGGGGAAGAGAACAGAAAGTGTTCTCTTTCTGAGGCAGACGCAGATATTTAAAGACTGTCAAATGTTCAAAAAACACATTGCAAGAGCAAGCACCATAGTTGGGAATACCCAAATCTTTTCCTAAACCGTAACCACCTCTCTCCTTGAAGCATTTAAGTGGTACCCTCCACTTGACAGCAGTGAAAGTAACATTTTATTATTAGTTGTGACCTTGAGCCATAGATAAATGTGCTACAGAGCGTTTTGCTAATTGCATGTACATAAGGAACAGCTGTTGTGGGATAGCTGGTCATGGCACCATCTTATGCAGAGCATTCCCATCTTGATTGCACAGTGGCATCACCCTGGGGTTTAAGGCTTCTTGATGCCTGCGTCCTAGCCTCAGAGAGACTCTGATGCTATTATTGATCTGGGCCTTGGTCAGGACCTGGTAGTTGTTAAAATTCTCCAGATAAATCTGTGAGCTAAGGTTGAGTGCACTAGTCTAATAGTGTCCCATCCACCACAGTTTTAATGATACATGATGAACAAGTACATAAACACCTGGCAGTGTTTGCATTTTATGGAGGCCATTTCACTAGTTCCATCAGTGATCAACAATGAATATGTTATTCCTCAGAGAAGGAAAAAAATGGAAAGATGTGTACTTTTGAACCTACTATATGCCAGGCACTGTATATACTTTATCTTACTCATCATACTACCCACACCCCCCCAAATCCCCACCCACCCCACAACGCACACACCAACCACAAGTCATTTTGATAATTTACAATTTACCTAGACTCAGAGAGGATTTTGAGCCCAGAGAGCCACCATTAATAGTTGGCAGAGCCTAGATTCAACCCTAAATCTATCCTTTCCCCAAATCTCAGGTGCTTTCCCCCACAACAGAAGAGGTCTGTGTGTTCACTGAACAGGTATTTGCTCAGTGTTATGCCAAGCACTATGCTAGGATGCAGAGAGGCATGAGAGAGATGGGTCCCCATGTTCCTGTGGGAGCACGTGACCAAGGAACTAGACTCAGCGGAAGAGTTCTGGTAGAGGGATGGTCACAAACGGGGATGGGGGGCATGACAGAAAGGAACCTCAATGCAGCCATCTCTAAAGAGACTGACAAACAGTTTCATTAAGATTGTATTTCTCAACTTGAAGGCATAAACAGGCATGTCTTACTCCATTTCTGAGAGTCCCTAAGGAAGACAGGCCTGTGACTACACTGAGAACAGTAATGTCAACGCAAGCAAACTCTATTTGCTGGTGATTGATGGATATTTACTAGTTGATAGGTTTTAGCTGGAACTTATGTCACCATTTGGAGACAGTGAAGAGGGTGAATTTGTCTTCTAGGTGTGCCTGAGCTAAGTCTTCATGTCCTTCCCCTTCACTCCCCCCACAACATCATGTGTTCTTGAGGAGTGTGGAAGTGTAGTTGGCATAGTTTTCACCCATTTTATTTCCTCTGTCCTCTCACAAAACAGTATCAACTGAGAGAGAGGAAAATGAAGGGCCAGCTGGAAACCTGTTCTGGATGATCTCCCGAGCAGGTGTCTGGCCCCTTTGATGAGGTACCAGGCATAGAGAGCCCGTTTATACGCAGGGGTGAGCCATGAGCTTCCCATAGAAAGACACTTTGCCCAGGCCCAGCATGCTGAACATGAGAGAGGCATGCAGAATGGAAATGAGCTGGGAAAAGCCTGCATTGTGGCTGGAAGCAGGGAAGAGCTCCTGCTTCTGCAGCTGGATCTTAAATTACATTTCCAGAAAGTAAACACTAGGGTCAAGAGTCACCCCACTTTCCCAATCACTGCAGAGGTATAAGTTTTTGCAGTTCCTCTTATTTTTTATTTCAATCAAGGAGATGCTCTCTACCTTGTCCCCCTGGGTAATTGAAAATAGTAACTAGAGGGAGTTGACTGCCAAAAGAACAAGCCGTTCTTTTCTGTCTCCCACAGATATTTCAGGGACTTGGAATCATGTAGCTGACAGAAAAAAATAAACATGAAAAGATACTGAAATTATTACCATGTAACACCAGAAAAAAAATTTCCCACTCTCCCATATCCTCCTTATATAAAACACTATTTTTACCTCTAGAAATGAATTTCCGTTAGCATGTACAGACTTTCCTCACACTACCCCAACTGTATCCACAGGTGTGTTGGTGGCGGTGCTGATGAATTTCTGATGGTATGAGTCAGAGTGATGAGAAATTCTCCCAAAGGAGCTTTATTTTTTAGGTGACCATACACAGATTTGTGGGCTCCTTTCCATCGATGTATATGTACTACCCTTCTGTGACTTATCTGCTGTGTTTTAAGACTGAACCATGTTGTTGGCCGGATCCCTATTGGTCAGCATCTCAGACAAGCTATTAGCTACCGGACCACCGCTGTGCTGAGTCTAGATGACAGAATGAGCAACTAAGGAAAGGATTCAGACAGAAAGAAACTGGTAGAGTCAGGGATCAGAAGGACATGGGCAATCCACTGTTAGGATTTTCCCAAAGCTAAGTGTAGGGGCAGGAAGGGGCACAGTGCAGGTTTTCTATGATTCTATGCAGACGGGGTAAGGAGAGGAGTCCTGGAGCCCTCAGTGGCTGTTGCTGGCTTTTATTGTGATTTACCAGGTACACGGTACCAGGGGTACTGGGGGGCCTGGAGGCTGGCAGGCCTCCCAGCCTCCAGCAAGTCTTCACTCTTTCTGGGCTCTCCAGCCTTCTCTCGCATTCTCTCTGCTTCTCTCCTGGGTCTCTTCTAATGTTCGTTCTGCTTCTTTTTCTGCCGGCATCCCCATGACGCCGCCCTTATAAACCCAGATGAATTCCATCTGCATATGTCCACACCCTATTCCAGGTGCCCGCCATCAGGCATGCATTCGGGACCACAGGGTTCCGTCATCTATCCTAATGGTGGGAGGGCAAAAAAGCCTGATGCTTTTTACCTTACCCTTAGTGATGGTATGAGTCAGAGGATCTGAGTAAGGCTGAAATCAAGGAACAATACAATACAGGTTACAACTTGCGTCAAGTTTTAGCAAATAGGAACCACAAGGTGATATGAATGTAAGAAAGCAGAAAGTTTAAATTTTAAGTCAAGAGCTGGGAAAGCCATAAGACTAAGAGCTAAGATCCTTATTTACTGTGCTATATGACATATGCTTTACCTGCATTATGTCATTTTAATCCTTCTAAGGAGCTCCAGAGGTAGAAGCTAACAAGGTAGGTAGAGATGTAAGATCCTACTTTACTGGTGAGGAAAGTGAAGCTTCTGAGAACTTAGGTAATATGCCCAAGGTCAGGACTCAAAGCTAGTACACTTTTCACATAGTCTTTGAGACATAATCTTCAAATCGCCAGTGAATAGGAAGACTTCAGTCCCATCCCTCTGACTTGCTGAAGAGAGGAAGTATATGTGCCTCCACACTCATGTGTTAGGAAAGGTACATAGAAAAAGTAAGACAAAGAAGTAGGGAGGGAGGTGAACTGGAGTGGATCCACAGCTGGACTGCTGGACATTGACTGGAGATCCTCATCACAGATCCAGATGGCTGATAGTTTATAAATGCTGGGTGGGATATCCATAAACATGGAATCCTTGTCAATGACTGACTTGTGATACTAATTGCTTTGGGTCCACAGTAGAATGATGGACAAACTCCCCTTGTGTGGGCACTTGAATATGACAGTGTTCATCAATGTGTAAGCACTCGAGACCCCTGTGGTGTTGCTGGGATATGTTTATCTGGGGTCTTTGCCTGTTTTTAATAAATGAGAATTAGCAAATATTTTTAAAAGTTGCTTATTTTTTTAGGAGACCTAGGTAATGGGCTATAGCTACTCTCATCAGAATGGACTTATCATCTAATGGTGAATTGCACCTCACCAGCTAAAAAAAACCTAAATTGGCAGAATGTTCTGAGACAGGGTCTTTTTGGTTTGGTTTTTTATTTCCCAATATGATCCAAACACTTGCTTGGGAATACTCTGGATATTGGTAAATTCTCCCAGCAAAGACTTCCTGATACTGTCTTGAATGGGGATGGACTGCCAGAGAACTATCTCTTTCTCTAATCTAGTTGATAATAAGTTGTTAATTATGTTATCAAGCTATTCCCAGACAGAGGACCAGTTAAAGTATCCAAAAGAGAAAGCATTATTTGAATATCCCAAAGACACCTTATGGTTATCTAGCCAAATTCAGAGGGATGTATAGAGGTTAGGAGGGTGCTGATAGTGGCTGTTTCCAGATCCCAGCTTTTATATGCTAGAATATGCAGACTCTATGAAGACTCCATATTGAAATGTAGCTGTTATAATATAACCTTTTTTTTAATTGTTTACCTTTTGTTTAAATCAGGAATCGAGTTAATCTGTGAGAAAGACATTGATCTGGCAGCCCAGGTACAAGAGCTGCTGGAATTTCTCCATGAGAAGCAGCATGAATTGGAGCTCAATGCGGAACAGACCCATAAGCGGCTAGAGCAGTGCCTCCAACTGCGGCACCTCCAGGCTGAAGTCAAACAGGTGAGCCTGGCCCTTCTACCTTTGGCCTGGGCTTCCCAGTGATTAAGTCTGACTGGACTTGCATCTGGTAGGGGAAAGGCATACAATGCCACTGGCGTAAGCAGGACTTAGCAAATAGGTAAGTAGAGGAATGGTTGTATTAGTCTTGAAAAGCTGGGCTGCTCTTTATGGGATGTAACAAATAGTTCTAATGGTATATGGCGTCAAGCTGCAGATGCTTTATTTCTCTCACATAACAATCTGAGGAGAGCATTCCAGGACCTTCCTAAGTTATCTCCCATCACTGAATTGATCCCCTTCCCTTCTATCCCCAATGCTGGTACACTGTCACAGTATTCCTCACTATGTCTTAGTATATTGTCATTTGTTATGATGGGTAAAATTGTCTTCCACACTCCCCTTATCTTCCAGTCAAAGCCCACACATGCTGTGCTCAAGTCCCTTCTACCGTGCAGGTGAAGTGTCTTCTTCAGTGCAGGTGAAGCAAACACGGATCACAGTGCTGCCATGCAGGTGGTTTTCTGCTTAATTACACTGTGACCATATCTGAATCTCTGGAGAGAAATGCTTTCTGGGGACACGGCGGAAATCCTGATAGACACAGAGTGATAAGTACACAAATGCTGAAACTGTTGTCACAAATGACAACACTTTCTTTTCATATGAGAAGCGCTTTCTCATTGTGATCTCATTTTCGAGCAGGCCCTTGGGGAAAAGTGATAATTATGTGTACTTTACAAATGTGGAAATTGAGGTACAATAAGATTAGTGCTCCTGGGAACTCTTGACTGTTTATAGGCTCCCTTTATCCAAGGTCCTGTAGTTTTCTCTCTTGAGGTTCTAGGAGAAATAAAAAAAAAAGGTAATAGAAAGAAACTCTCAAGTATAACACAGTCTGAGATTTTCCTGGTCTGTGTAATACCTCTGAGAAGATGGGCATGACCTGCACCTGGCAGAGAGGGTAGCACCTGCTGACAGTTGATGGGCTCCAGTGGGTCATGGGAGTTTGCTACTGTTCATACTCAGTCATTTCCATCAATGGAAGGTGGCAGGAATGATCATCTCCATAAAAGTGATATCATTCCTATTTGATTTTGAAATGAAATGATATACTTTTGCTTCTGTTCTTGGCTGTTATTTTTTCACTCCTGCATTAATAGTATATTCAGCTCCCTAATTATGCTTTTCTTGACATGAAAATGCAAATAAATTTTTATCCCAGAAGTATATGTTCTGCATAGGATGGGGAGCTAGGATAATATAGGTAGTTTGTCAAATGGGGAAGTAGGTCTTCTATGTATGAATAATCCAGATTTGAATGACATCTGGATATATTGCTATTCAGTGTCTTCATGAGCCAGAGATCAAAAAATAATTCTTCTAACTAGATAAGCAAATTCCTGTTCCCCACCTTGTCAAGAATGTCATTGAGACACAGTGGGTGTGTAGTTTAGATTGGTCCTGTATTGTTTCAATCGAACTTTAAGAAACCCATGAAGGCTTTGGTGAAAGACAGCTGCCCTCGGAGGTGCCGAGGGACTGCTGCTTGGTTGAGCTACTATGCCTCATTAGATAGATTTGTTTTCCTTGTAAATGTAGGACTCTTTCTTTAGGCCGTCATCTGATCCAGTTTCAGAGGAGGTGTTTGCGTTTGATGGAAGGAGGTAGAGCAGGAAATATTGATTTGGAAGCTGTTGACACTTGGAAAGAAGAGTTAATTTAGATGTCAGTATTGATCAGTAAGGCTAAATTTAGTCACTAGCTTAACAGTTTCTCTTTTGAATATACTCTCAAAAAAGAAGGAAGAAAGAAAAGACAACTTAATTGAAATGCCATTAAAGGGGACAGAACGGGAGAGGACATCAATGTGTTATTAATATAACTCTGTTGTTAGAGCTCAGAAATTAAAGGTTTAGATTTAGCCATCAAAACTGTAAATGTGGTTCAACTACAGTTATATTAAACTGAAGCTTTGAGGAGTGAGAATACTGTAGACATAAGACTGAACATTGCTCCCAACTATTTAGAACAAATGACATTGATTAATGCAATTGATTTTCTTTCAGTTATGTAGGACTCTACCTAAGATAAGTGGTCCAAGTACCTCTAGAGAAATATTGACTCTTAAAAGGAAACAACTCCCTTGATTATAGCCCATGGTCCAGGGCCCTTGACCACCCAGATGGCCGTCTTTCTTCTAACATATTGTTTAAATTACTCCCATATGCCACAGAATGCTCAGATTGCTTTCTGGGAAGTTACTACTCTGATAAATATTGTTTCACATTTATTAGTTCAGGAGCATACTTAATGGGTGTGCATTTCAATGTTTCCTACAGAGAATTTAGGCCAAAATTTGCATGTGAGCAAGATGGACACCCAAAACAAAGGAGAAGCTATTATCCTGGCTTCGTACTTCTGTCAAGAATACTGTGTTCATTTCTGTTCACTGTACATAAAAGTTAGAAAGGAGTAGAAGTAGTCATCAACAGAAGCAACCAAGGAGCAACTACTATCCATTTGTTTCAAAATGGAGATAATTAAGAAGATATATGGTCACAGTCTATAAAACCATGAAGATGAATACACACAATCTCATAAATTGTGTGTCTTAAGAAATATGCCAGGTGTGCCTCTCCGGTGGCGCAGCAGTTGAGCGCTGGGTTGCGAAGCTGCCCGCAGCCTCTGCAGCACCAGTTCGATTCCTGGCTGCTCCCCAGCCACCGGAGGAGGGTCCCACATGGCGCGCAGACCTCTCCTGCCGCCCGCTGCTCCCCTCAGCAGTATACTTCGGTCCTTCTGCCTGCTCTGCTCCCTGCTCTGGCTCTGGTGAATTCTCTCACCCTCCCGCGCTTCTGACTGTACCCAGTGCTTGTTTACATAAATAAATAAATCTTTAAAAAATATATATACATATGCCAGGTTGCCCACCTACCATCTGAAGTGATTTTTTTTCTGTGGATAGAGTTTTAGATGACCATACCTTGTGATTAGTTACCAGCAATGGCAGGCCTTAGAGTCAAGGACCTTCCTTGAGTGTATCCTCAAAGCTTTATTGTCAGTATGACCTAGAGCAGCAGTACTGTATTTCTTCAGGTGCACTTTAGAAAACACCCAGCTTCCCCAGTCTGCATGGTCACAGGTCTACCTTGTCCATCTTAGATGCCATAGTCACTGTGGACATCCACAGTCAAATAATCAAATCTAGTCTTTTCCTAGCTTGGGGCTATCTGAGCTTTCTTGGCCTGAGGAAGCACTAGATTTTTATTTCTAGTTACCTCTCTTAGCTCAAACTAAGCTGACTTCGTGGATGAACCCTAATTCCCCCAAGCAGCAATACTCCTTAGACCTCATTTCTATGAAGCTAACTTTCCCTGGTATCCAGTGATTATAGAAGCAGTCTCTGAATTTTGAAAGAAGTTTATAATGTTAAGGTTCAAAGTGACCTTCAAAGATCATCTAACCTATAGGTATACTGTTGCCTAAAATGATTAACCAACATAAAATCTTCATTTAATTTGCAGAAGTACTTTTCTGTTAATTATTTCATTTTATCTTTACTGTATGATTTAGGCACGTAAAGTGTTGCCAGTTTAAGGATTAGAAAACTGAGCCTCAGAGAAATTAAATGATGTTTCCCAAGTTACATAGCTCAATATTAGTAGAACCAATATTTTTCTCATCTTCGTTATAATATTTTTCTACTACATTGCCCTCATCTGGATACTCAAAGAAAAATAAATAACAAATTTTATGGACCAGAAAGATGAAAGACTACAGTAATAGAAAATTATACCAATATGAGTATTATTGATCAGAGTGCAAAGAATAATTATAACAAAACAGCTGAGGTACCTACATCATATCAGGATATACCAGCACAAATATGGAATAAAAAATAATACTCCTAAAGTTTTTCTCTTCTCATTGTGAGAGGTATAAATGAAGAAGCATAACTTCATCTAGTTTTTCTCCAAAACTAAATATCATTACCTCATCAGCCACCATCATCACTTTACTTTTTTTTAGTATATTGTATCAATCCTGATATAGAAAAGCAAGATGCAATTATCCTTACTTTACAGATGAAAAAATGGAGAGTCAGAGAGACAAGTGATTTTTGCCAGATAGTAACAAGGTCAGTTATTCACGCTTCATATTTTGTGCTCTTTTTTTACAACCCCAGTTCTACCTCTAAGACTGACTGAATCATATGGATCTGTCCCACCCCTGAGCCTAAGCCATGGATATAAACTACTATGCATTTCTATCTTCCTAAAGGCATATTTCCATCACTGAAGTCCTAGAATGCCTTATTATACAGCATTTGGGAAATAAAAATCAACAGTGATATCAGGGAGATGGCATGATTTGATGAAAGACACAGAAACCAAAACCTATGAGATTTCTAAGTGGAAAAGCTGATAAATGGGGTTATAGCTACTACCATAGCTATAACTGATATTTCCAGTTGGCTGAAGCCAGAGAGGAAAATATTCCAGCAAAACTTATCAGGTACAGAAGAAGTTAGTCAAATTGCTCCTTGAGCTCTGATTTGTGATGCACATTGAGAAAATGTTTCTCTGACACCATCACATGAATCTTGAACCAAGCAAAATGCAATGAATCATGGCAAAAGGACTTACCTAGCTCAAAATCTACATTGTGAGTTCCATTTCTCAAAGAGATGAAGCATTTGAGCCTGCAGTGAATGTATGCATGTACCCAAACCCATAAGCAGTTTTGAAAATCATTTGCACCTCTACCCAGCCAGCCACAGTATACCACTGGCAAGAAAGATTGCACACATACACTCTGAGCAGTTATTTCCTGCAACTAATTGCTTTACAGAATATCATCTCAGCCATAATCTGCCAGACTGGCCATGAATTAACATCTCAATTCAATCCGCCCAGCTTCAGCAGGATTTTTGCCACCATGTTATCTATGCAATATGGCACCAGTCATTTCTGCTCAAGTTGGAAATTTGAGAAATGTCTATGAGGTTATAGAATAGGAGACCAGGCTTAGTGTTTTTCTTTCTAATTATTTATCCTGAAGTTTAGAGGGGAAAAATATCTGAAACATATTGTGGTGTCTTCTCCTTTGCCTTGAAGTAACAGATGGGTGGTATTTACTCATCTTAGAATTTCAGAAGAATTTTTATTTCCTCTCCAAGCAAACTCTCAGACTAATAAAGGAAATATTTGACAATTTTCTGGTGACAAGACACAAGGTATATTTTCAAGACATAATTTCTTGCCATCTGGATATTTGTGCTTGACTATTAGTTGGATAATTGTCACATCTCCATTTCACCTTGGACCCTCTAGATAGTGCCAGATTTTCTCCTTTTAATATTCTCTAGCTGAGTTTTCCTTTCCTGGTACCAATCAAGGTTTCCTAGAAATTTTTCTCAGTCTAGCATAGCTTCTAAATAATTTAAGTCAACTATAGTTTTTAGTCTCCCTTTTCCTAATGATCCAGAGTATAGATTATTCATGCTATTGTGCTTGCTCCCCTTTTCCTTCTTCCTTCCTTTGGATTGATTACCTACTAAAACTTAGACATATCTACTTTTTTTAATTAATTTTTTTACATCATTGTTCATTTTTAAGCAATATTTACTTCCCCCCACCCCCTCGGGTGTAGTCCCCATAGGGTTTCCTTCACCAATGTACCTGTGCACCATCACCTCAGTCCCCTGTGCTCCTGCCTTCCTCCCTCTGATCTCTCTCCCGCCTCCTCCCCTGCAGGATGTCTGATTTATAATTGTCCGTTTTTGCTTTGTTGTGTTTTGTACTGTTACTATTTTTTTATAATGCTGTCTTATTGGGTTCCCCTATAGCCTTGCTATAAGTGAAACCGTCTGATATTTTTCTTTTTCCTTCTGGCCTATTTCACTGAGCATAATTCCTTCTAGTTCCGTCCACGTTGCTGTGTATGGCATGAGTTTATCTTTTTTGATTGCTCAATAATATTCCATTGTGTATATATACCACATCTTCTTGATCCAGTCATCTATTTTTGGGCATTTGGGTTGTTTCCAGGTTTTATCTATTGTAAGTAGTGCTGCAGCAAACATTGGGGTACAGGTGGTCTTTTGAATCAATGTTTTCATGTCCTTTGGGTAGATCCCTAGTAGTGGAATTGCTGGGTCATATGGTATCTCCATTTTTAGTAGACTGAGGAACCTCCAGACAGCTTTACATAATTGTTGGACCAGTTTGCACTCCCACCAGCAATGTAGGAGAGTTCCTTTTTCACCACATCCTCGCCAACATTTGTTGTTGCTTGTTTTTTTGATATGTGCCATTCTTACCGGTATAAGGTGATATCTCAATGTGGTTTTGATTTGCATTTCCCTGATGATAAGGGATGTTGAACATTTTTTCATATGCCTCTTGTCCATTTGCATTTCCTCTTTGGAGAAATGTCTTTTAAGTTCTTCTGCCCATTGTTTGACTGGATTGTTTATTTTGTTTTTGTTGAGTCATGTGTGTTCTTTGAATATCTTTGTGATCAGTCCCTTATCCATTGAATGGAGTGCAAAGATTTTTTCCCAATCAGTGGGAAATGGCTCTTTTGCTGTACAGAAGCTTTTCAGTTTGATGTAATCCCAGGTGTTTATCTTTTCCTTGACTATCTTTGCTTTGGGTGATGAGTCTTTAAAGATGTTGTTGCGATGTATGTCTTGTAGTGTTTTACCTATATTTTTTTCTATATATTTTATGGTTTCAGGTCTTATGTCCAGTTCTCTTATCCACTTTGAGTTGATTTTTGTGCACAGTGAGAGGTAGAGGTCTAGATTCATTTTTTTGCATGTGGTGGTCCAGTTTTCCCAGCACCATTTATTGAACAAACTGTCCCTGTTCCACTGCACAGAAATATCTACTCTTGGGTATATTTCAAGGTTGGGCCCTCTGCTCAGGTGTGACTTGGGTATTCCCCATAGATAATTGTTCACTATGTCAATGACTTTACAGTATACCCATCACATGCAAGGTTGTATGCTAAGAGGTACTGTATGAAATTAAAATAAGACTGATATATTGCCCTAGTTTTCCAGAAGTTTGCATTCTAAGGGGTGAGATGAAATATAGGTCAAAATAATAGAACATAGACATCTGTAGTGAGTGGCAAAATAGTGTGTTTTTGTACTAAAGAAGAAAGAAATTGTTTCTGATGGGACTGTTTAGGTGTGGATGATTTCAAGAAGTTGTTGACATTTGAGCTGGGCCCTAAAAATAATACCATATGGTGAAATGTATTTGTTTATAAAATTCTTTGTTCTAGAAAGAACTTCAAAAACATACACATAATTAGTCTACTAAAGTAATATTCAAATTAAGTGGTAATGAAATTGGGACAGAGAGATGGTAAGAGAAGGAAAGAATATATTATGCTCTGAATAAGGTTGGTACTTAGAATAAATACCTCAAGGCACAGTGCCAGGTAAGATTGGAAAATGACCCTTTTAGTTACTCACACCCTTCTGGTCCTCTCACCAACTGTGGATAGAAGATAGCGAGATGTCTGCTCAGAGGGTCTGTCAGAGAAAGCAGTAGCTCCGGGGAAACCATGTAAGGTACTCACCTATTCCTGTTCCACTCCCTAGGTCCTGGGATGGATACGCAATGGGGAGTCAATGCTCAATGCCAGCCTGGTCAATGCCAGCTCTTTGTCTGAAGCAGAGCAGCTGCAGCGGGAGCACGAACAGTTCCAACTGGCCATCGAGGTAACACCCAAATCTGGCTATCCATTCCTCACATTCCTTTTCTGCTCTGCTCCTCAGGCAGAATGATTCCTCAAGATGTAGGTGTTCCTTTAGGTAGTGAAGCCCTTACTCTTTCAGGTATTCTCCCTATTACCTAAGGATTGATGGAGGAGCAAATGAGGGAAGTTAGTTAATACCCCAAGGAAGCCTGGTAATAGAAAACAAGCATTCACACTATAATTGTGGGTCTTGGCTAGGATTGGGATCTTTATCATTAAGGCCCCTTGTACACTGAGTTGTTTGTACATTATGGACTGTGCACCATCTCAGAAATGGAAAGCTAAAAGGCTAGAAATCACTTCCAACTGAGGCTCACTAAAATGGAAGATGGACAAGTACGAAAGTTATTAGCAAATTAGAATTCCTTTTTTAGACATTTGGTTTATATATAACGTTAGATGCCATTGTGATGCTCTGACTTTTAATAAGAACAAGAAGCACTGGAGCGGATTGTAGATAGTTTGTTTCATTGAAAGTACTGGTTCAATATTGCTGATGAAAGTCATACTTAAAGAATAGACTGAAACTGTAAGTTCATGAAGTCTTGTTTTAAAGGTTATTTTAAAATAAAGCTCTACTTATGATCATCTAATATAAATTTAGTCTTACTTTAAATAATACCTTTAATTATCCATTCTGGTAGAACATTGTCTTTCCCAAAGAGACTTGAGCTGATTGCTTTAGAATAGTGTGGGGAAAAGAGTAGGAAATAGGACATGGGAAATATATTAAAAATAAAATAAGTTCAGTACCAATGGGAAAAGAGATAGAGTGAAAAACATCAAAAACATTTATTACTTGAAGTTCAGTATAAAACTCAACCCACTTCTGAATTAAGAAATGCAAAGTTGTTATCTTCTTAAAAAATGATTATTGGTGGAAATTTTCTACAATCATAAAATTTTAACTGTGCCCATAAATGTGCATTTCACTGTAACAATTCAGCTGATTGCCTGCTATTATTAAATCAGTATTGATTAATTTCAGCCACTTAATTTCCAGAAACCACCATATGTGTAGACATAGTACTAATATGAATAGCATGTTTTTGTAAGATGCCAGATATCTTCTTAGGAACCATTAGTTGTACTAGAGTACTCTGATTGGAGATTTAAAAAGAGACTGCATAGTGTACACACATTGTTCTAAGGAGAAACTAACCCCAGGAGAGGAGTTTATTAGCATTAGCTCTCTCTGTTGCAGTTTAACGGCATGCCCAAATATATGCGTGGTAGGCTCTGTTATTCACTGTGAAGGAAAAATCAAGACTGGGGTTACAATCGGGAATCAAGAACACCATGCTCGAGGCTCTGTAGAGAGGCAGCACGCAGAAAAATGAAGTTTGGGCACTGAGACTGGAGACCTGGCATAAAGCTGTGAGAAATGCTGGACAGAGAGTGGAGAACTCCTCCTTATTTATTTTGAGTGTTAAGATTTACCTGTCCTGTCAGGTAATTTAAATTTTCAGTCCCTATTGGGCAAGTAAAACCCAGTGTCATGACACACTTGAGCATCTCAAGAGTGAGTAGGAAATAGTTGGTAAATGATTGCATTGGTTAAATAACTAAAATCCATATAACTTGCATATGTAGTATGTATTAATTTTTACTAAATGCTATTGCATCCTTACAGTTTAGAGACCGACTAAACATCTGTGTCTCCTAGTTTCAGGTTTCTACATGGATGCAAATTGATCAAATATTCTTGGAACTCATCTTGAGATTTAGGTCCCTGTGTAGAATTTATGTCTATGATCTCAAGAGGATATGGCAGAATAGACAGGATTTTTGGAAGATTTTGAGAATGGAAAATAGATAGAGAACTGCGACATGGCTAAAATAATGAAGAAAACAACCAGAATTTCATCATACATTCTTTATTTAGGTGGCCTTTGCTTCTCTCTCTGAATGTCAGTTTAGACCAGCTTCTACATTCGGGAGAAAAAATACCAGGAAATATTTGAGCAATTTAAAAGGGTGTCTAACTAGTCTGGTTTGGCTTAACCCATTTTGATAACTTAGGAGACCTTTACAATGATTGCTGATGAGTGACTTAATCTGGCCTATTGGGCCCCAAGAAAGAATCCTGGATTCCAGAAGGGAAAATAAAAAAACTATAAGTAAGATGATAATATAATTTATTGTTAAGACTGAAACACCTCTAAGAATGAAGGAGGAAATTGTTGATAATGATGCCAGGAAAAATAGGCAAAGCAGGGGGTGTTCACTTACCCTAGCTTGGATGACCTCATGACTTTGAAAGTTTTGGTTACCCCAGAGAAGGTCCAGATTTTTCCCTTAGATAATCTTACTTTCAAGAAAACATCCTCAGAGCTATTCAGAATGGGGAGAAGTACACAGCACCCAGAAGCATAACTCTACCAACAAACCCAGATTATTACTATTTGTTAGTATCTGAGATGTTATGAATGCTATAGCTTCAAGAACTGTAAACATAACAACAAGCTCGATCTTAAAATCTATTTTTATTTGAAATCCTCTTATGTATTTTAAGTATGACCATTATGACAGGAAAAGTAGTTAAAACTGTGTAATAAATTCAATTGTTTTGGCTGAATTTTTTCTCATGAACTCCTACTAAATATTAACATCCTTGATAATCTGTGGCTTAAAGATATAGCACTCAATAGGATTAGATTAATAGAGTGTAGACATAAATGCAAAATAGTGATTCAAGCTTGGCAAAGCAAAGATTCATCACATGCATAAGACTTTATCATTTTGGAAATTAGAGTAGGATGGGTTCCCAGGACTATTAGATGATAATGAATTTCGGAATAAGAAAGAGGATCTACTGTGTGGCATAAATTTTAGGAAACTTAGTTATTCCTCCATTCTAAGAGGTAAAGACATCTTAACTTACTTATGATGACAATTATATGCCACTTTCACATATTGAGGAATATACAGTGCCAGTAAGTAAAACAGACAAAACCAGGTATTTGTCATGGATCATTTCTGACCACTAGCTGTGGTCATTACTTTTTCTAGCTGTGTTCAGCAATTGGGAATTCAAGTGCTCATATAGTCATTGAGGGCTAACTCAGCAAGTGGATGAAGGAGTCTTTGTTGCTAGAGGAGGTCATGCTAACATAGCTAATGCTGACTACAGATTCAGGAGAAAGAGAAGGAAACAAGGAGGCAGTTGATAGACCAGGAAAAATAAAGATATGTGAACTTCAATCTGGATGAGAGTGAAAGGAGAGGGTAGAGGTGAAAAGCAGGGAGGTTATATGTGCACATTGAGAGGGCTGACTGGTTCTTGGGAACTGTCCTGGCACTTCTGCCCAAGAAAAAAGGAGAAGCAATTATTTCTGTTGCTTCAGAGAGATGATGCCCTTGATGGACACAGAAGTGGAAGCAGCAGACTGAGATGCATGTTCAATAGATTAAACACAATTCCAGTCAAATCCCAGCAAGCTTTTTTATTGAAATTTGTACACTGTTCAGTAAATTACTGAACTCTTAGCTGTTCCTTTTCACTGTTAACTGAGATAAACTCTCCTAAAAATACAAAGGCCAAATTAGTATTAAGCCATTGGGTTGAAATGACACTAGCAGTTGAGGCTAAGATGATAATTCACTCTTTGAAGTCATATGGCTCATCTACATCAGTACTTTATTTTAGTAAATTTAAATCCCTTTTGGTTCTCTCCCTGCCACCCAATCCTACAGTTAATGTGAACTCAGGGAATGCAAACCACATGCAGCCTGAATAAGAAAATACCTAAAATACATAGTACATCCTCTAACATACATACATAACATACATCCTCTAACATACATATACATACATCCTCTAGTATATGTCTACCACCATGTATGTATGGTGGTAGACATATACTAGATATATTACTCTAAAGCCAAACATAAATAATTTAATGTGGGGATTATACTTTGAGCTGAATTACCTACTCTAGTGCTCTTTCCTAGGTGAGGTAACTGAGGGATAGTATAAATTTCTACTCTTCTGCTTTATAATTCCTTCTACTGGGAATCCTTTTAAACTGATTATTAATGTTTGGAATAATTACATTATTGACTGAGATTTGCATTACATGGAGATCTTTCTGTGTGTTGTGCTTATTTGATCTATGAAATGGAACCATAGCAATAACCTCCTTGGAAAATTCATTATGATAAACAATCTTATGATTAGGTTTGAAAAGGAAATTGAAATAATTTATGAGCCAGTCAGGGAACAGATTAATACACAGTGGCTGTTTTTTTAACCACAGAAACTGAAATGTCTCTAAAACTCAGAGTGGTGCAAGGAGCAGCAAAGAGTAGGGACAGGAGTCAGGGTTCTGAGCAACTAGTTAATGAAAATGTATTATTTTTTTTAAGTATGCTTTTAAAGCAATCGTGTATTAATCATCATGACAAAATGTTTGAATCAGTCATTTAAAGCTCTTTAACTTTTCTGCATCTTTCCACTCACGCCTCACTCCACCCCTCCCATACCACGCCTGGGTTGTTCCCACGAACCTCTCTCACCTCCCCTTGTGCCCAGTCCCTCTTTCATGCCACTTCCTTGCAGAAGACGCACCAGAGTGCCCTGCAGGTACAGCAGAAAGCTGAGGCACTGCTGCAGGCCGGTCACTACGATGCCGATGCCATCAGAGAATGTGCTGAGAAGGTGGCCCTCCACTGGCAACAGCTCATGCTGAAGATGGAAGACCGGCTAAAACTGGTCAATGCATCTGTGGCCTTCTACAAAACTTCTGAGCAGGTGAGGGATGGGGTGTGGTACATGTACAGTTGTGATTGATGGAGGATTTGCTGTCCTATACTGCAAAGCTAGTCCTCTCAGTATTAAATATCTTTGGGAATACCTGTGGAATCACCACAGTTGTTTTCCTTATAATCTTTCATTAGAGAAACAGATCATTTTTATCATTTCTTTTAAATTTCTATGATTTAAAAATAAATTCTATGAATTTTTTAATAAACTTCTCAAATTCTTTGGATCTATGAGTTGAAGTAGAAATTGGATGTGTATTATATTTGAATAGTGCATCAGTCATCTGTTGCCTCAATAATGCTGTGTAACAAAATACCCTCAAAATTCAGTGATAAAAAGCAATAAGCATTTATATTTTGATTAAACATCAGCCCCTATGTCTCTCTTCCTTGACCAGTAGTTCTTGAGTATATTTATGGTAAAAGCTAGAACTACAGAGCCCAAAATCTGCAAGTGCATTTCAAGTCTCTGTTTTTGTCACAACCTTTGGCCAGAACAAGTCATATAGCCAAATCAATATCAATTATCAGGGAAATACATGCCTTCTATAAAGGTTGGGGGAACAAAGTGACAATTTGCTGAACATAATTTAATCACAGTCAGGCAGTGTGCACTGCTTGAAAACATATAGCTCTTTCGCTCATGGGGCTTTCAGTCTAATGGAAGAAACAGCTTTTTCATTAGGGAATGATGAGTCTCACTGGCAAGATGGTGTTACTTGTGGGAGAAAAGGCAGGAGTTACATACAAGACCATATAGATACAGACCCATTGCTATTATATCTATTGTATATGCTCAAGGGCTAAAGGGATTTTTAAATTGGGTTCAATTAGGAAATTCCTTTTTATTCAATTTAAAACACTTTCTTCATTTGAATGGCTCCCTGGTAGAATAGATTAGCGACACATTCTCTTCTCAGAATGTCTTAAAGAACCTAGACCATGGGATCACTGGAAGGTGATTTCAGAGTAAATACAGCATGCCTGTCAAAGGGCACTGCAGGCAGTGTTACTGCCCCCATGCTTTCTCTCAGTCTTCCTTTCTGTTGCTTCAGAGAGATGATGCCCTTGATGGACACAGAAGTGGAAGCAGCAGACTGAGATGCATGTTCAATAGATTTAACACAATTCCAGTCAAATCCCAGCAAGCTTTTTTATTGAAATTTGTACACTGGTTCTACATTGGAGATGCATGGAACCTACAATAACCAAAACTACCTTGAAAAGGAAGAATAAAGTTGGGGAATTTGTACTACCTGATTTTAACACTTATTCTAAAGCTACAATGATCAAGACAAGATGAAATTGGTGTAAGACTATGCATAATGGAACAGAAGTTTCAGAAATAGATCCATGTATATAATCAGTTGGTTATTCACAAAACAACACATTAAGGAAAGTCCTTCAACAAGTACTGAATATCCCTATTAAAAAATAAGATTTACTCCTGTCTAATATCATAACATTTTTTTTTTGCATAGAACTGGGGTATAGACCAAAGGTGTGGGAGTGAGAGAGGCAGAATGGGGAGTAGAACAGGTGGATTTACTGAAATATGCTGCTAAGGGGAGCAGTGGGTGAGACAGGAGAGGTCTGCTGCCCCATGTGTGTCACCTCCCTAGCTGGGGATTGAACTCAGGCCCTCAGGCTGCAGTGGTGATAGTGCTAAGACTTAACCCCTAAGCCACCAGGGAGGCCCCATCATAACAACGTTCAATTTGAAATGGATCAAAATGCTGATGGGGACATACAGAGTACTAGATTAAAAGTCAGGAAATTTGACCCTGACCTAACCTTGCCAAGGTCACTTTCTCACTCTGGACTCTGTATCTTCACCTGTTATATTAAGGATTAGGGTCAAAATATGGGGGATGCAATTGTGTGAGGGAATATAACTAAAAATGATGTAAGAATCATATAAAATAAAATATATTAAACATAAAAAAAGATTTATGTTTGATAATATTTTCATTTCTTCTAGCTCCCAAACTGATTGTTTTTGTTCAATACTGTATTGGGACATATTTTGAGCACTCAGTTTCTTAAAGTATTTGCATGTCTCTAAGCTGTATTCTCTTGATGTGTACCTGCATGCATGTTTTCATGCTTTGAATAAATAAGTATGCAGTGCTAGGGAGATCTGCTAGTGTTCAGAGACAGGGGAAGCGTGTCTGGCTGTGAGAGTGCTCTGCCTGGCACGTCTTTGAGCTTGTCTTTCCACTCTGTCCATAACTCAGCAAATGTCCTATCCACACTACATTCTTCATCAAAAGGGATGAATTTCTCAGACTGAGAAGGCAAAGGATAGTTATAACTGTCACCTGCTGCCGTAACAAAGAAGTAATCAAAGTCTATTGAAGGGAAGTAGGAATATTTATTTCTCCCCTGGGCCCTGACACTGGGCGGCTCTGGGTCTCCCACTTTGAACCCTTACCCAGCTTTCCTTCTAAGTCCCGTTCAAAGTGGTTTTGCTCTGTTGTGAATTTATATATTTATAAAGTTACTTCATGAGGCCTCTCAACATTTTTATTTTAGAACTGAAGCATTTCTAAACTGTTTTTTAGATTCACCCAAATTAGTTATCACTCTGAAAGAAATATGCTTTTTGCAATAGGAAGCCTGATAGTGTCATTGTCTTAGAGATTTTTGCTAGGATATTTTTTCCCCAGAAGAGGAAGAAATATAATATTCACTTACGGTCAATAAATTACACAATGTAGACAACTTTCTTCTTTACCTTTGCTTGAGTCTACTTACTATAGGGCAAGAATAGATGGGTGGGAACTTTGAAACCCCCCAAATACTAGTCTCTCTTCCTTTCTTAACATGGGTACTGTCCCGATGCAACATCTTCAACCCCTGTAGCTTCAGCCTGCATCCATTAATTGTAAGAAGATGATTTTAAAATTTTAAGCTAGTCATAATCTATCTCCTGAAATCCTGACCCTGGATTCTCACTGCCCCCTGGACTTCTCTTAGATGTCCCAGGGGCACTATAGACTCTAAAGCTACAAACAGAACCTCGAATGAAATATGTCCCCTGTGCAGAGTTCTGTCAGCTGAAGGTCCCATCAAGTACTTCTCACCTGATTCATTTACTCTGTCTTTTCCCTATGATTCATTAGGTGTGTAGTGTCCTGGAAAGCTTAGAGCAAGAATACCGGAGAGATGAGGACTGGTGTGGTGGACGAGATAAACTGGGACCAGCAGCCGAGATTGACCACGTCATTCCACTCATCAGTAAACATTTGGAACAAAAGGAGGCCTTTCTTAAGGTTAGAGCATACTGTCCCCAAGTCTGGGACTTCAAGCTTGTTCTTCTCTCCACCTTTTCACTCACTCTCTTCCCCAGCCCTTTCCTTTCCTCCCCTTCTCTTCCCCTCTTCATCATATGGGCTTCCCATGTCCTGTTCTTTCTAGTCTCTCAGCTAAAAGGAGGCTTGATAGAGAAGATATTGGATGATTAATTTGAAGGCTTGAGGAGTTATTTCTGGCAACATTTTTGGTATAATTTGACAATACCATCACTACTGGTGCCATATTCAAATACCCTGCTATCCCAGTGATGTTAATTGAGAGAAATACATACTTTCACTCAATTATGTTTGCTTAATAAAAATATTTTAATTGAAAAATAAGCCTCGATACACAGCACTGTTAAAGCATCCTTTTATAAATGGATGGTGTAATCTATGGAGAGCTGTGTGGAGATTTCTTGACCTACTAAACATAGAGCTTCCATATGATCCAGCAATTCCACTCCTAGGTATTTACCCAAAGGACACAGAAACATCAATTCCAAAGAGCACCTGCACCCCTATGTTTATAGCAGCACTGTTTACAATAGCTAAGCTTTGGAACAACCCAAATGTCCAAAAATAGATGACTGGATCAAGAAGATGTGGTACATATATACCATGGAATATTACTCAGCATTCAAAAAAGATAAACACATGCAATTTGCAGCAACATGGATGGCACTGGAAGGGATCATGCTCAGCGAAATAAGCCAGTAAGAAAAAGAAAAATACCGGATGGTCTCACTCATAGCAGGAATCTAGAAAACTTAAATAAGGGACCAGGAAAAAGAATAACTATAAGAAAGTGAAAATCAAAATCAACAAAAAACTATGAACCAGAGATACTCTATGGGAGGTGGGGGACGGGGAGGGGAGAGATTGGGGTCAAAATAAGGGGGTTGCAATTGTATGGGGAATATAAAAATAAAATTTATTAAAAAAAATGAGAGCAAAACATTAAAAAAAATAAAAAATAAAGTGGATAAATCATAAAAAAAATAAATGGATGGTGTAAAATTTGGGGCAAGAATAAAAGAAGTTAATTTAGACACCTTATTTATCAATCTAGCAATTTCAGTTACCAATGACTGTAATATTGTTTGCTAAATGAAAAGAAAAATACCTTATTTTGTTTTTGGTGTTTTGTTTTTTGTTTTGTGTTTTTTTTGCTTTAGTAAAGCCCTAGCTACCCAGAGAAGAAGCACAGTCCTGCTCTGAATTGGCTTGTACCCAGTGCGGGAAGTCCTCTTAAGCCTCTGTCCTCCAGTCTTTTTTTTTTTTTTTTTTTTTTTATTGATGATTTGCTTTATTTTTTTTTTAATATTAAATTTTATTTTTATATTCCCCCATACAATTGCAAACGCCCCATTCTGACCCCAATCCTTCCCCTCCCGCCCCCCACCCCCCAAAAAGTGTTTCTGGTTCATAGTTTTTTGTTGATTTTGATTTTCACTTTCTTATATTAATTTTCTTGGTCCCTTATTTAAGTTTTCTAGATTCCTGCTATGAGTGAGACCATCCGGTATTTTTCTTTTTCGTTTTGACTTATTTCGCTGAGCATGATCCCTTCCAGTGCCATCCATGTTGCTGCAAATTGCATGTGTTTATCTTTTTTGAATGCTGAGTAATATTCCATGGTATATATGTACCACATCTTCTTGATCCAGTCATCTATTTTTGGGCATTTGGGTTGTTTCCAAAGCTTAGCTATTGTAAACAGTGCTGCTATAAACATAGGAGTGCAGGTGCTCTTTGGAATTGATGTTTCTGTGTCCTTTGGGTAAACACCTAGGAGTGGAATTGCTGGATCATATGGAAGCTCTATCTTTAGTAGGTCCAGAAATCTCCACACAGCTCTCCATAGTGGTTGGACCAGTTTGCACTCCCACCAACAGTGCACAAGAGTTCCTTTTTCTCCACATCCTCGCCAACATTTGTTGTTGCTAGTTTTTTTAATATGTGCCATTCTTACTGGTGTGAGATGGTATCTCATGGTAGTTTTGATTTGCATTTCCCTGATGACAAGTGATGTTGAACATTTTTTCATATGCCTGTTGGCCATTTGCATTTCCTCTTCAGAGAAGTTTCTTTTTAGCTCTTCTGCCCATTTTTTGACTGGATTATTTTCTTTCTTGTTGCTGAGTCTCATCAGCTCTTTGCAGATTTTTGTGATCAGTCCTTTATCATTAGTGTTGGGTGCAAAAATGTTCTCCCAGTTGGTGGGGTTTCTCTTTGTTTTTGTTATTGTCTCTTTTGCTGTGCAGAAGCTCTTTAATTTGATGTAGTCCCAGCTGTTTATCTTTGTCTTCACTATCACTGCTTTGGGTGATGTGTCTGTAAAGATGTCTTTGATGTGCAAATCCCGTAGTGTTTCGCCTATATTTCCTTCTATGTATTTTATGGTTTCAGGTCTTATGTCTAGTTCTTTAATCCATTTTGAGTTGATTTTTGTGTATGGTGTGAGGTAGTGGTCAAGCTTCATTCTTTTGCATGTAGCGACCCAGTTTTCCCAGCACCATTTATTGAACAAACTTTCTTTGCTCCAATGCATAGTCTTTGCTCCTTTGTCAAAGATTAGTTGACCATAAATCTGTGGGTTTATTTCTGGATTTTCTATTCGATTCCATTGGTCTGTATGTCTGTTCTTGTTCCAATACCATGCAGTTTTGATGATTATGGCTTTGTAGTATAGTTTGAAGTCTGGGAGTGTGATGCCTCCATTTCCTTCTTTTTTTTTCAGTAGAGCTTTGGCTATTCGGGGTTTTTGGTGATTCCATATGAATTTCATCAATAATTGTTCTATTTCTTTGAAGAATGCCATTGAGATTTTGATTGGAATAGCATTGAATCTGTATATTGCTTTTGGTAGGATGGCCATTTTAATAATGTTTATTCTTCCAATCCATGAGCAGGGGATGTCTTTCCATTTCTTTGTGTCTTCTTCTATTTCTTTTAACAGTGTTTTATAGTTTTCTTTGTATAGGTCCTTTACCTCTTTTGTTAGATTTATTCCCAAATATTTGATTTTTTTTGTTTCAATAATAAAAGGGGTGGTTTTTTTGATTTCTTCTTCTTCAGATTTATTGTTTGTGTATAGGAAGGCTACTGACTTTTGCGTGTTGATTTTGTATCCTGCCACTTTACTGAACTGACTGATGAGTTGAATTAGTTTTTCTGTGGAGATTTTGGGGTTCTCTATGTATATTATCATATCATCTGCAAATAGTGATAGTTTGACTTCTTCTTTTCCTATTTGGATTCCTTGGATGTCTTTCTCTTGTCTTATTGCTCTGGCTAGGACTTCCAGTATTATATTGAAAAGCAGTGGTGAGAGTGGACATCCTTGTCTTGTTCCAGATCTTAATGGAATTGCTTTCAGCTTTTCACCATTGAGAATGATACTGGCTGTTGGCTTGTCATAGATGGCCTTTATGATGTTGAGGTATGTTCCTTGTATCCCAAGAATTTCAAGGGCTTTTATCATGAATGGGTGTTGCACTTTGTCGAAAGCTTTCTCAGCATCTATTGATATTATCATATGGTTTTTATATTTCTTTTTGTTGATGTGTTGGATAACGTTGATTGATTTTCGGATGTTAAACCATCCTTGTGCCCCTGGAATGAATCCAACTTGGTCGTGGTGAATTATCTTATGGATATTTTGTTGGATTCTGATAGCTAAAATTTTATTGAGGATTTTTGCATCAGTGTTCATTAGGGAGATTGGCCTATAGTTTTCCTTTTTTGTGTTGTCCTTATTCGGTTTTGGTATTAGTGTAATATTGGCTTCATAGAACGTGTTTGGTATTGTCCCTTCCTTCTCAATTTTTTGGAAGAGTTTGTGAAGGATAGGCACTAATTCGTCTCTGAATGTTTGGTAGAATTCATTTGTAAATCCATCAGGTCCTGGGCTTTTGTTTTTGGGGAGGTTTTTAATTACCATTTCAATTTCGCTGCTTGTAATTGGTCTGTTTAGGTGTTCTATTTCTTCTTTATCTAGCTTTGAGTGATTGTAGAGTTGTAGGAATTTGTCCATCTCCTCTAGATTGTTGAACTTGTTTCCATATAACTGTTCATAGTAGTTACTGATTATTCTTTTGATTTCTGCTGTGTCCGTTGTGATTTCTCCTCTTTCATTTATGATCCTGTGTATTTGTGCTTTCTCCCTTTTTTCCTTTGTGAGCCTGGCTAGGGGTTTGTCTATTTTATTTATTTTTTCAAAGAACCAGCTCTTGGTTTCATTGATCTTTTGGATTGTTTTTTTAGTTTCAATTTCATTTATTTCTGCTTTTGTTTTTATTATTTCTTTTCTTCTACTGGTTTTGGGGTTTTTTTGTTGTTCTTTTTCTAGATCTTTGAGCTTCGAGATTAGGTTGTTTCTTTGAGTTCTTTCTTGTTTTTTGATGTGAGCTTCTATTGCTATATATTTTCCTCTTATTACTGCTTTTGCTGCATCCCATACATTTAGGATATTGGTGTCCTCCTTGTCATTCAATTCAAAGAATTTTTTAATTTCTTCTTTGATCTCCTCGTTAGTCCAGTGGTCTTCCAGTAGTGTGGCTTTTAATCTCCATGAGGTAGGATAGTTCCTTGCCTTCTTTTTATGATTTATTTCTAGTTTGATGCCTTCGTGGTCAGAAAAGATGGTTGGTATGATTTCAATCTTGGTGTATCTGTTGATGTTTGTCTTGTGCCCCAGTATGTGATCGATCCTGGAGAATGATCCATGTGCGCTTGAGAAAAATGTGTACTCCGTTTTTTTTGGGTTTAGTGTTCTATAGATGTCTGTTAAGCCCAAATGCTCTAGGTCCTTATTTAGAGCTTTAGTTTCTTTACTTATTTTTTGTCTTGTTGATCTATCCATTGTTGATAGTTGTCCTCCAGTCTTTGATCTTCTCTGACAGTCATCTATGTTAAAACTTATCTAAAGGCTGCATTAGTTTCAGATTTCTTGATATACTTCCCTCAGTATATTTCATGATATACTTCCCTTAGGTTTCTGAAAGTACAAAAAAGGAATTTTTATACCCTGACATATTGCCACTGATTTTATACATTTCTGTAATTAACTGCCTTTCTTCTATTAGGGATTTTCTCTACTTGACCACCTCTTAAAGGTTTTTTTTTTTTCTCTCTTTTTGAAGATGGTCTTTTTCTGCTATCCTCCCACATAGCTGGTATCTACACCCACATTCAATCAGAACTCTCAGTAACTAGCTCTTTAAGATCAAATAGAAATTTTTCTATGTGAGACTTAAGATGATTTTAAAAGTTTTCTCTATTAAAGAAAACAATTTAAGTAGAGAATCTGATTTTAAATAGAGGTAAGAAATTATTTCTTCATAAAATTAAGTATTTTTTGGAAGAAGGAAACAGGGAAATGTTATGGTTCAATGTTTTCATTTTACCTAAGAGCATTTTGATGAGAAACTCCCTATTTTTGCAGTTGTCATATGCCCAGTTAGTCATATGTTTGCACTAGTTGATCTGTTTTGGATTCCTTAGCTTTGGGCTACCATCCAGCTCTTACATTCACAAATCTCAGAGTTGATGGTTCCACCAGCAGGCTTTTACCATAGCTCTTTGAATTAGCCACTATTGCTAAAGTAACATTTAAAATAATTTTTATTATATAATTTGTAAGTTCAGGTGCTAAGTATAAAAGATTTTAAAATTTGATAGTGTTATCTACAGATCATTTAATTCTGAAAATTGTGGAATATGTATATTCTACAATCAGAAAAAAAATTTCTAAAGAAAATATATGGTCTTGAGAGAAAGTTGAAATACTATCAGTAGACCCAGGTTCCAGCCCTGATTTGTTTCATGGCTTTTGCCCTTCTTGGACCTCAGTCTCCGTGGTACAAGTAGACTTGTCCTGTGCTCTGTCTCCTACAGCTCATTTGAGTCTTCCAGGGCCAGTGTAACCCTCTTCTTCCCTATGTACATCCATATTTCCCAACAGTAGGATGTTTATTGCTGTGATTGATGTGGGGTAGATTTAGTAGACAAATAAGTTTTTCAAATGCAGACAGTTTCTATGTAGATTTGGAATGCATGTTTACCAAATTTGTTTTCTTAAGTCTAAATTGAATTAATGTTAATGTGGCTTACCCCACTGTTCATATAAGAATCATTCTAGTACAGAGAAAAGCCAGCCTGAGAGTGAATATTAGTAATGCTGAATCAACATTTAGGAAGTCAAGGGATGGCTGATTTCTGATTCCTGTCTGGCGTGAAAAGGGGAGAAACACAGGGAAGAATTCTTCACTTGACAAAAGAGCAAGCCTCCTCATTGGAAGTGGTGATACCATGAACAGAAGTGGCCTCCAGGGCTCTGCTCACTCAGAGCTACAGCCACCTTGTCACCAGCACCCCTTCTCCAGTGTCTTGGACCCCAGGCACCTACTGGAAGTCACCACCTCACACGTTTGTCTCTCTCAGGCCTGCACCCTGGCACGGCGGAATGCTGAAGTATTTCTGAAGTACATCCACAGAAACAACGTCAGCATGCCCAGTGCCGCCAGCCACACCCGGGGACCTGAGCAGCAAGTGAAAGGTCAGTGTGAGACCTGCTGGCCACGAGCCACCTCCACAGCAGGAGCAGAGGCTGTTCACTGGCTTTCATACCAGTGCAGATTTCCTGCTTCTTCTCTTTGGAGAAGAAATAGTTTGATGTGGGGTGGCGTAGGAAGTGATGATTCATGGGCAATTCTTTAACATGCATCAAAATTTGGAATGGAAAAAAGAGCACAAAATTTCCCCAAAGCTTGTTCATGTATCATAGAGTCTAGAGGAGTGCTGCCTAATAGAGTAATCTGAAATAATGGGAATGGTCTGGGTTGTGCAATATAATAGCCACCTGTCACATGTGGCTTACATCACTGAGGAACTACATTTTCACTCCTGTTGAATGGTAATTCATTTACATGTAGATAGCAAATATGGCTAGTGGCTAACATACTGAACAGCACAAGACTGGGATATCTTACAGCCTGCGAACAGGACATGACTGAGAATCATAAAACCCCATTCTAATCCTGGCCTTGCAACTTACTGCTTCAGTTTTTAAAACTTCACTTTTCTTATGTAAAAAGAAGTATGTAATTCTATGAAAAAAATAAGTAGCCTTAAAATTGTTTATTTAAAACAATTTTTGTTGAAATAACTGCATTTTAACATTATATAAGTTTCAGGTGAGCATCATTAAAAATCAACATTGTGTATATACAGCACTAAATTTAACAAATTGCTTCTTATCCAACCATACTAAGCTTTACTTTTCCATGGGAACTGCTTACTCAGAATTATGCTAAAAAAAAACAAAAAACAAAAAACAACAGGTTTTGAATGAGTGAAGAGCTTAACAAATGTCATCTTGACCAAGCAGAGAAGTACAGCTCTGGAGACCAAGGCTAGCGAGGAAACTGAAACTGACTTGGAGTACAGGGTGGGCACAGGCTTTGCAGACCCTATGGGTTGGGTGGATGGGGCGATGCACTGATCAGCTTCAGGGAGAGCTTCCCTCCTTCTAAAAGAGCTCAGGGTTGGGAAGATCAGAGGCCTCTGGAAAGAATGAAAGTTAGGAATCAAAGTCCATACAGAGAAGCGGGAAGCAGGGTTCCTTTTCCAGAAGTGCTACCCTGTTCGCAGGCGAGGGACCCTGTGGATAGCTGGTATTATGTCATCATCCCCTTCCAGCATGTGTTCAGGCATATGTTCTCACTTCCAAATGCAGGCGGCAACTTGGGTGAGACAACTGCCTGCTGAGAGAGCCCACACCCACACCTCCGTATGCTAAGAGGGATGGTCACCTAGATAGCAAGAGATACTATACCTTATTGGGGGCAGATTTTTGCCCACAGGAAAGCCAAGAGATGGAAACAAATGAAACAAATGAACTCTTTAGGAGATTAACCAGGTCTGGGCTTCTCCTCTTGGGCAGCAAAAAGGGGACGTAAAGTTAAGGAAGCCCAGGTTCTCTGCCCAGTTAAGGCTTCCACCTGAGACAGTATCTGCCATCTATCCTATATCACGTTTCCTTTTTTTTTCCTTGATTGCTTCAAGCTTGGCACATGCTGATAAAACATGTAGGAAATCTATCCATCTAGCCCTCTGCTCCTGACGCAACAGAAGCAGAGAGGGAAATAACATGGGCCACCACCTACCATGGCCACTATGGTGCTGTGCTTGGTGCATACCCTCACACTTAGCATCGTTAGATGTAACACGAGAACAGTTTTCTGTTTTTCCTATGATTGTATCCAAAGCCACATGCCATATAGACCTTATTCAAACATAGGTCCCCATGCCCAGGATTTAGAAGTTTTAAAATTCTGCTGTGTTGTTAAAGTACCATATATGCAGCATCTTGTACAGAGCAGAGAGAGAGAGAGAGAGTGGTGTATGACATGGGTTATCCATGCAGTTCCAACAGTTCTCACACCACTGCTCATTACCTGCTTTCTCTTAAAACTCCTCAAAAACAGCTGGGATTCCTGTCCAGTCTACTTGCTCTTCATGGACTCTAGGGACTGATTGAATTAGTTGCTATTTTAGGGACTAATACTTTCCAAGGTTCCATCAAAGACTTACCAGAGAAGAACTTTGATGTGAAGAGAATCAAGGTCATATTTAAGTCACCCTCGGGGTATGCTCTTCTTCCTTTCCTTAATAGAATCTTGTCTGTAGGCTGTCACCCCAGTATGCTGATTGTGATCCCTACTGGGAGTTTCTCTCTACCAAGCTTTTGCTCCCTTGCCTCTGCTGTCTGGATTAGTCCTATGTGGAGGCTTGAAGGTCTTAGTTACCCTGAGCCCGGGATTTGTTCGGGTTCCTCCTGTGACCAGCACCCATCTCCTCTGCCCTGCAGCCATCTTGAGCGAGCTCTTACAGAGGGAGAATCGTGTCCTGCATTTTTGGACCTTGAAGAAGCGGCGGTTGGACCAGTGCCAGCAATATGTGGTATTTGAACGTAGTGCTAAACAGGTATGTCCAGAGCTTTTCCTGACTTTGCCTCATTTCTAGGGATATGCGGAGGTCCCAAGTCTTGGGAAACATTCCAGAAGAGGGTCAAAGCAGCAGGCAGACTAAAGATGGCAGGTGGGGATGACAAAAGTACTGTCAGCCATCGTTCAGCCTTTACCAAGTGCTCTATTCAGAGTTTGGGACCACCAATGGGGCAGAGAATGTGGGGACAGATTGTTCCTAACTCATGGATGATACTGGCCCTGGCCTAGAAGAGTCCCAAGTCTGATGGAGACATTTTCCTTGCTGGTGAGATGTCCCACATCTAGCAAGAGAGGGTCATTCATAAAGACAACTTTCAAGCTACATACTGATAAAATGCAGCATGTTGAGTCCATCACACTGTCCCAGACTACATGGCATGTTTTTCTACTGGGGCTTTGGGGGACTGGATGAGTTTTTTCCTCCCACAGGCACTAGACTGGATCCAAGAAACAGGTGAATATTACCTCTCAACACATACCTCCACTGGAGAGACCACAGAGGAGACTCAGGAACTGCTGAAAGAATATGGGGAGTTCAGGGTGCCTGCCAAGGTAGGAAGCATCCCAAAGACTCCACCCCAACCCACTCTGTAGCTCCCATTCTGGCCAGTTTCACATCGTGAAAAGGAGAGTAACCTCTGTACATGGAAACGCTGGACCACAATGGCAAGGAGGATATTGCCAGGCAAATTGTCTTCTTTAAACCTGAATCACAAAGGAGTTGCAGCTGCTGGGTACAGCATTTGTAAGCAGGAAGTCGGCTCCAATACACTGTGCTTCCAGTGTCTCATTTTCATGCTTCATGTTCTGGAGTCTGCTATTTTATTTCAGGCCAAATGAGGCCCGGGGATGTATTCATGCAGAGGCACATTGCATGTGTGCACATCTGCACCTGTCCACATAGTATTCAAACTTGAATGGTCTGGGAAATCCACCTTTTGGGAAGGTCATTGACTATGGGTGGGTTCACAAAGTAGGTAAGTTTATTTCCTGAAAGGATGACTTCCTTCTGGTCTCAGATGTGCAAATGGGCCAGGCTAGGGTTTCTGGGGAGCAGAACATGCACATGCCACACTCCTGGCTTCACCTCCATTCACACTGAGGCTGGGAATGCTATAAATGGAGAAAACCTCATTTTCATCTGTTTTCACATCTGGGATTTTTATCTGAGGACCCTTGGGTTTGAATGAAAATCTGATCTCTCTTGGGTTCTCTTGGTAGTGTCCCCACCCCTTCCTACCGTGGAGGAGACTTTGGTGTCACTTGCTCACGTGGCAGAAGCTCTTTCCAGGGTGAGAACTGCTTTTAGCTCAAGGGAGAACATAAGAATGCCCATCCTCCCCAGAGATCCCTCTGACTCTATGGCAAATGTTCCTTTAATTTGCTGTGACAAAATTAGTCCCTCAGCCTTATTTCTGAGGTGTTATTTCTGAAGTGGTCATCCACTTTATAAATTGGACACTATGAACTTTTGACAGTGGGGGTACCTTCCCCAGCATCCTTGTGATCTGTGGGGTCTTTTCATCCAATGTGAAAAGCTGTGAGTTCAGAGACTTATTCCTGTGAGACTCATTTCAGTAGCAATCCAAGCAAACAGACTAGGAAGGAAGCAGACGTATAGAACTCTTCATACCCAAGTGAAAATGGCTTTTGAATTACCCTCTTTGTGTCTGTCTGCCTCTCTCCAAATAGTGTCAATTATGAACCATTTGCATGTTGAGAAGTACCAGATCCACTGGCGATCCTACCCACATGAGATGGCTCACAGCAGATACCCACACTGCTTAGGATCAGGATCTGTCCATCACCTAAGTGGAAATGTGGAGGATTGTTTAGTCAATTTAATTCATTGTTTCTTTAAAATCTTCTTTTTATCTTTCCCCTCTCTCCCATTCCCATTGTTAACCACCTGAAGCTACAGCAACTTCCTAATTGGGCTCCATGGTTTTTGCCTCTGTCCTTCTAACCCACCCTGCTCTTCATTGTTGTTCACCTTTAAAGCAGAACTGTGGATACCCTCTGAAACATTCACAGTGTTGTAAATAATGCTACCTCAATAAAAATAAGTAAATAGGGGCCTCCCCAGTGGTGCAGCGGGTTGAGGGCTGGACTGTGAAGCTGTCTGCAGCCTCTGGAGCGCACATTCAATTCCTGACTGGCCAGGGAGATTCCCACATGGTGCGGCAGACCTCTCCTGCCTTGCCAGCTGCTCCCCTCAGCAGTGTCTTTGGTCTGTCTGCCTATTCTGCTCCCTGCTCTGTCTCTGGTGAATCCTCTCACCCTCTTATGCCTCTGACTGTACCCCAGTTCTTGTATAAATAAATAAATCTTTAAAAAATATATAGGGCCTCCCCGGTGGCGCAGCGGTTGAGCGCTGGGTTGCGAACCTGCCCGCGGCCTCTACGGCGCTGGTTCGATCCCCGGCTGCTCCCCGGCCACCGGAGGAGGGTCCCACATGGCGCGCAGACCTCTCCTGCCGCCCGCTGCTCCCCTCAGCAGTGTACTTCGGTCCTTCTGCCTGCTCTGCTTCCCGCTCTGGCTCTGGTGAATTCTCTCACCCTCCCGTGCTTCTGGCTGTACCCAGTGCATGTGTAAACAAAAACAAACAAACAAATAAATAAATAAATAAACATGCCTCTATAAAAAAAAAAAAAATAAAAAATAAAAAATAAAAATATATAAAAAATAAAAATAAGTAAATAAAACACCACTTTGGTCATATCACCACCCAGCTCAAAAACTTTAATGATTCTGCAGGCTAGCACTCAGCAATTCCTACACAATGCCACATTACCACCCAGATTCATCTTCCATGATTCATTTATGCAAGTTTTGTGCTCCAGATAAATATATGTATTGTTTTTAACCTTCTGAGGGATAAATCCTATACTTTCTTGCCTCTGGGCCTTTTCTATACATTTCTCTGCCTGGAACATCTAGCTCTTCCCTCTAGTTTGTACTTGTTAAAAGGAGCCCACCTTTACCCTCCAGTACCTTCTCTGTGATCCTGCCTCTGTTCCAGGAGCTAGTCTTGCCCATCCTGCACTATAACCCTGGTTGTCTATAAAATCCTTAAGGTACTTGGCATGAACCACCCTGTTCTCTAGGAATCTGTGTGCAGTGTTATCTTTTATATGAACCAGCTAGAACCTAAAGGATAAGAATCTACTTTATTCATTCACCTGACTGCGTCTTATGCATTGGAAGCAGACCACAAACAGAAACAAAGACGTTTCTGTAGATTTCGGCCCCCCCAAAAAAATCTGTTTTTAATTTGATTCTTTCATTTTGGATCTCTGTGATTTCTCTACATACTCTCCAATAATTGGGAGATATCTGTCTTCCAAGATATCCATCTTTTTTATATAGGTGTCCTCGGGGTATGAAATATATATATCATTGTGGTTTTGATTTATATTTCCCAATTACTAATGATGTTGCAAAGAAAACACTTTTTAAACTGGCAAATTTATCTTGGAATGTGAAAGAAGCTATAGATAAACTGGACTTAATTCTTCTGCAAAAAAAAAGGGGGATTAAGTGATAATGAAAGTGACTGGAGTCTTAGCTGAACTAAAAATTATGTCTTGGAATTCAGATGGAGGAAAGGGAACAGTGAATTGTCAGATAGGCATTTTAGATGGAGAAAAGGGTCTCAAATAAAAGATGAGACTCTTAAGAGGAATGTAACTCACATGTAATAGAAATTTTTGAAAGGTTTAGTTTTTCATATATAATGGCAAATTATTCCCCATGGAATGATTATGAAGATATATCTCAAGAAAACTGCTTACTCACAAAGTGAGCTCAATAAGCTCACATCTACAGAGAACATATCAATAAATACACAAAATATCAGTAGAGAAAGGCAAATTAAAAAATGATAATGAGATTAAAAGAAACATACCAATATGGCAATACCTTAAAGACTTGTGAAAAATGCTAAAGACACAAAGGATTTTTTAAACAAGTACTATTCAGAATAAGGTTCACTGACCAAAGAGGGATAGTATAATATTAACTCTTCAAAGGAAGGAAGGGAAGGAAAGAAATAAAGCTTAAAAAAAAAAAAGTAAAATTACAGAACCCTTTAAAAAAAAAAAAACTACATTTTCCAGCAGATAAAATAGAATTCTAAATGGAAAGGGTAAAACATGCCTTAGGCACATGTAGAGCTTAAGATAAGTGATCTGTCAGCTCCAAAGTTTCAGATCCAAGTAAATTATATTCCCCAAAGTTTCCCTCTTGTCGACCAGTTCATATCCATACTTCTGAACCTAGCATTCAAGAACTACAGAATGACCCCTACTTTATCAGTCTATATAATTTACTATATTTGAGTGGCAAGATTTGAGTTTCAAACTGGCTTAATATCAAGGAGAAACTTAATAACATGATCCACTCTATGGGAAGAACAAGAAATGTGGCATAGTCTCACCTCTAGAGATGAAAACAGGAACGGACTGACACCCTCTGCAGTTCTAGCCAGTCATCTAATCACAGAGGATCAGAGATACATTACCAGCGTCACTGTGATCCTGCTTCCCCTCTCTTCTGTCTCTGCCTTCTGTGTTTCCATTTTCCTCTGCAACCAACTATCCAGTTCCCCATCTCTGCAGTTCAGATCCCCAGAGAGACAACCTTACTTGACCCAGCATATTGGCACTGTCCTGTTTAGACAGAGCTTTTAAGTCAGGACACTCAGATGTTACTGGCTGCATATTGAGGGGCTGCCCTCATGGGACACAATTTTACCTTTGATCTCATCAGCTGTAGTCAAAAATGTGCAGATTGTGTGGTGCCACCTCAGTCGTGGGCATGGTTGGAGTCCAGTCTGTGGGTCAAATTTATCACCTAATTCTTCCCAATATAAACCTCAACTCTTGCGGATATGGCTTTATTACTACCAAAATGTTATTTACTCATTTTTTATTCAAATTTTTGGTTTCCTTACCATCTTCTTGGCACTAGAGATACAAGTAAGACAGATAAAATACTCATCTTTTAGGAATCTGCGGTCTAATGAAGGACTCATAAATATTTCTGTGATACCTGCTGAAGTAGAGGCTTCCATGTGGCGTTGCGGCAGTGTGGGGAAGGACATCACCCATATGCCCAGTGGGGAGCACAGGAGGTGTGAGAGGGCCATAAGGTTGAAAGAGGGGTGAGTAGGAGTCACTCGTCAGAGCAGGAGGGACACGGAAAATCAACATGGTGGAGCTTAGGGGCCTTTGAGAGCAGTGAAGACAGGGACTGTCACAAATAGGTCAGCCATATGGAGAAGGGCTTGTCTACATTGCCCATTTTACTATTTGCTCCCTGGGTTCCCCCAAATCTGGAATATTTTTGGTCATAAGACAGTCTCCTTCTTGACTCTGAATCACAGTTTTGATGTCTTAGGATATAATTTCTTCTGAGAGGGCAACTGACTGTGAAACCCTATTTTGTGCCATCTCCTTACCAAGAGTAGGGAATAAATATGTAATTCTAAGGCGCTCACATAACAATGGACTTCTTGGTTATAGTTGCAAAAGTTAATCTCTGTCTTAAGGAAACAGCAAACTTAGGAGAACTGTTCTCAGAAAGAAAAATAAACCTTAAATGCATAAGATAGAGGTCCTTAGAATACCACTGTCTCTTCTTACTCAATTCCCAGTGCTATTATTCTTTGTCTTTTTTTTTTTTTTGCTTTTTTTTTCAGTTTTTTTTTTAATAATAAATTTTATTTTTATATTCCCCATACAATTGCAGCCCCCCCATTCTGACCCCAATCCCTCCCCTCCCGCCCCCCACCCCCCAAAAAGTGTCTCTGGTTCATAGTTTTTTGTTGATTTTGATTTTCACTTTCTTATAGTTATTCATTTTCCTGGTCCCTTATTTAAGTTTTCTAGATTCCTGCTATGAGTGAGACCATCCGGTATTTTTCTTTTTCTTTTTGGCTTATTTCGCTGAGCATGATCCCTTCCAGCGCCATCCATGTTGCTGCAAATTGCATGTGTTTATCTTTTTTGAATGCTGAATAATATTCCATGGTGTATATGTACCACATCTTCTTGATCCAGTCATCTATTTTTGGGCATTTGGGCTGTTTCCAAAGCTTAGCTATTGTAAATAGTGCTGCTATAAACATAGGGGTACAGGTGTTCTTTGGAATGGATGTTTCTTTGTCCTTTGGGTAAAGACCTAGGAGTGGAATTGCTGGATCATATGGAAGCTCTATGTTTAGTAGGTCCAGAAATCTCCACACAGCTCTCCATAGTGGTTGGACCAGTTTGCACTCCCACCAACAGTGCAGAAGAGTTCCTTTTTCTCCACACCCTCGCCAACATTTGTTGTTGCTAGTTTTTTTAATATGTGCCATTCTCACTGGTTTGAGATGGTATCTCATGGTAGTTTTGATTTGCATTTCCCTGATTACAAGTGATGTTGAACATTTTTTCATTTGCCTGTTGGCCATTTGCATTTCCTCTTCAGAGAAGTTTCTTTTTAGCTCTTCTGCCCATTTTTTGACTGGGTTATTTTCTTTGTTGTTGCTGAGTCTCATCAGCTCTTTGCAGATTTTTGTGATCAGTCCTTTATCATTAGTGTTGTGTGCAAAAATGTTCTCCCAGTTGGTGGGGTTTCTCTTTGTTTTTGTTATTGTCTCTTTTGCTGTACAGAAGCTCTTTAATTTGATGTAGTCCCAGCTGTTTATCTTTGCCTTCACTATCACTGCTTTGGGTGATGTGTCTGTAAAGATGTCTTTGATGTGCAAATCACGTAGTGTTTCGCCTATATTTCCTTCTATATATTTTATGGTTTCAGGTCTTATGTCTAGTTCTTTAATCCATTTTGAGTTGATTTTTGTGTATGGTGTGAAGTAGTGGTCAAGCTTCATTCTTTTGCATGTAGCGACCCAGTTTTCCCAGCACCATTTATTGAACAAACTTTCTTTGCTCCAATGCATAGTCTTTGCTCCTTTGTCAAAGATTAGTTGACCATAAATCTGTGGGTTTATTTCTGGATTTTCTATTCGATTCCATTGGTCTGTATGTCTGTTCTTGTTCCAATACTATGCAGTTTTGATGATTATGGCTTTGTAGTAGAGTTTGAAGTCTGGGAGTGTGATGCCTCCATTCCCTTCTCTTTTTTTCAGGAGAGCTTTGGCTATTCGGGTTTTTTTGTGATTCCATATGAATTTCATCAATAATTGTTCTATTTCTTTGAAGAATGACATTGAAATTTTGATTGGAATAGCATTGAATCTGTATATCGCTTTTGGTAGGATGGCCATTTTAATAATGTTTATTCTTCCATTCCATGAGCAGGGGATGTCTTTCCATTTCTTTGTGTCTTCTATTTCTTTTAACAGTGTTTTATAGTTTTCTTTGTATAGGTCCTTTACCTCTTTTGTTAGATTTATTCCCAAATATTTGATTTTTTTTGTTTCAATAATAAAAGGGATGGTTTTTTTGATTTCTTCTTCTTCAGATTTATTGTTTGTGTATAGGAAGGCTACTGACTTTTGCGTGTTGATTTTGTATCCTGCCACTTTACTGAACTGATTGATGAGTTGAATTAGTTTTTCTGTGGAGTTTTTGGGGTTCTCTATGTATATTATCATATCATCTGCAAATAGTGATAGTTTGACTTCTTCTTTTCCTATTTGGATTCCTTGGATGTCTTTCTCTTGTCTTATTGCTCTGGCTAGGACTTCCAGTATTATATTGAAGAGCAGTGGTGAGAGTGGACATCCTTGTCTTGTTCCAGATCTTAATAGAATTGCTTTCAGCTTTTCACCATTGAGAATGATACTGGCTGTTGAAAGCAGAATAGATGAAATGGAAGAACGAATAAGTACTCTTGAAGACACAGAAATAAAAAGAACCAAAACAGAAAAGGAAAGAGAAGTACAAAGGAAAAAGAATGAAGAAAGACTTCAGGAACTATCTGACTCCATGAGGAAAGGAAATATAAGAGTTATAGGAATTCCAGAAGGAGAGGAGAGAGATGTAGGAACAGAGAAAATATTCCAGGAGATAATTGAAGAGAACTTCCCAAACGCGAAGAAGGAGCTGAAAATTGATATACAAGAAGCAAGAAGAACACCAAACTTCCACGACGAAAGGAAAAATACAGCAAGACACATAATAGTAAAGCTCCCAAGAATCCAGGACAAGGAAAAAATAATGAAGCTGGCAAGAGGGAAGAAACAGATAACATTCAAAGGAAAACCAATCAGGCTGACATCAGACTTCTCTGAAGAAACACTACGGGCAAGGAGAGAGTGGAGGGACATAGTCAACAGACTCCAAGAAAACAGATGCCAACCAAGAATATTCTTTGTCTTTTTATGGCTAAGAAATTTCTTCTGTCCTCACACCCACCTTCTTTCTCTTATACCAAAACTCTTCTAGGCCTTTCTCTCCTAATTCTGGGTATCAGCCCACTATCCTGTGGCAGGAGAGGTTCTGTGTGGTGAGTTGCAGGACAGCTGGAGCCCGAGTCTCCCTGGCCACATAGCAGAACTAGCTCTCCCTCTGGTATTTCTTGGGAAGGTCAGTCTCTCCTGGGGGAGGATTGTTGATGAGCCTGGAAAGGTGTGGGAGGGGGAGGATGATAGAATCACAAAAGGAAGGCTCTCTGTCTGGTCTGCTGCTGCTCTAGTAATTTTCTGCCTTGGTTTCCCTTGGTTGTCCTGTGTGATTAGATGTCCCTCCTTACTACACCTTGGACCTACTTTTCTCCTGTCCAAAAGATAATTTTATTCCTTAGAATATTACTTCAATGTTCTTCACTTTCTCTTAAAATCTATCAGGCTCCCTTGAGATTTTAGAGTTTCAAAGTTTAAAATTAAAAGATGAGCAAGCATCACTTGTTAGAACATTCCTCTATTTCCAGACTTTACGCTGCGTGATTCCCCACCTCACAAGACCTTTCTTGCCCATGCCATTCCATCTTCATTTTTTTCCCTTTTTTAAAATTCCTGCAGTGCTAACTGTACATATCCACATGCATACATCTCATTTTGGCATTCAATTACATAATTCCCCAAATTATGTAACTACTCTGTGAAAATCATGTCCCCTTTAGAGAATATAGATCTGTGTATGGGAGGGGTGGGTGGTGTCTCTTTTTTCTTTTGTTTACCTTTCAAGATTGTCCCCACAGCGTTCTGTACAATGCTGTGGACAGAATAGATGCTGAACAACTCTTTCAAGAAATGAAATCAACCCCACACACAGAAAAGCTCCACCTCACTAAGCCCTGGATTCTAGCTTCATTAACTCTTCTCTTTTTCGCTCTAATAGAAACTAATGATAAGATTCTGGTCATAAAATACAAACTTTAAATCTACTAGATGGATTTCTTTAGTTCCTGACATGTACCAATTTACTTGGTATTTAGAAAGCCTACTTGAGGGAGAGAACTAGGAAATAAGGAACAGAGGCACACCGGTTCTGTTGCTTTCTGGTGGCGTGAACTTGGGCAAGCCCTATGCCTCCCTGCATTTCTTTCATCCATGGTTCAAGAGTACCATACCCTTTCCCTCCACCTGCCTTCTAGGAGTGCTTTAAGACTCAGTGTCTCAGATGTGATGTTAACATACTCTGTAAACTGGTAGCACACTCTGTAATCGATCATCATGGTGGCTAACATATATTGCTGACTGAGATCTCACTGTGAGCCCTGTGCTGCAGACATAGTTCTAAGCATTCTGTATTATTAACTCATGTAATGCTCACAACCGACAGTGGAGGTACTATTACAACCCCTATTTTGAGAATAAAGGAATGACACACAGATGGTTTAAGTAATTTGGTCAAAATCCCCAGCTAGTAAGTGACAGAACTGGGGTATAAGCCCATGCAGCCTGGCTGTGAGGTATCTATGGCTGCTATAAAGAAAGGCGGGGAGATGATGTGAAGAGTTACGAGAGTAAATGTAATCCAGTAACTTATGATCTTCTTTTGGGACAGCAAACAAAGGAGAAGGTGAAGCTTCTGATTCAGCTGGCTGATAGCTTTGTGGAAAAAGGCCACATTCATGCCACAGAGATTAGGAAGTGGGTGACCACGGTGGACAAGCATTACAGAGACTTCTCCTTGAGGATGGGGAAGTACCGGTACTCCCTGGAGAAAGCCCTGGGAGTCAACACAGAGGTGTGTGTGAGGATTGCCCAGTGGGGTGTCCTACTTTCTCATGTCTCCCCCCCCCCTTACTACTTCTCTCACTGGAAGCAGTTTCTGAACTGCTGGCTACTAGAACACTTGCCTTGTGTGGTTCTTCTACTGGACAGGTTGGGGCTTGCTGAGCTATTCACCTCCAGCTCCCTTTCCCCAGCCCCCATGATCAGTACTATATATCCTGCAAAATTGACTGGTCAGGGCTGGGGTCTCTCACTATAGAACAGAGTTTTTCTCTGTGTAGAGTTAATTGTTGTCTTTGAAGACTGACCTCTTTATCCTGGCTTCAGTAGTACCATCTTCTACCCAATTATGTAAATCAGCAAATGATTAGAGTCCCCAGTGCTTGTTCAAGAATAAGGGATACAATTTGTGCAAAGGCTATTTAAGGTTTCAACTGAAAAGAGGTACTATTTGCAACAAAGCAAGGGAAGACTTTTAATCTTTTCTTTATAATGGGGGTCAGTAACCTATGCATTAAGAGCTAAATACAGCCTGGCAATTTAAGCCTAGGATTTCTAATTCTAGGTTCATGCTCTGAATCAGAGCAGACTGGAGAATGAAGTGGTCAAACCATTAAAACTGGGGCATTAATGGTTCTCCCGATTGGAATGTAATATTTTTTTTCTAGAGGTTTCCATTATATAAGTACCAAACAGTGCTTGAAATAAGCAGAGATGGGCAATTGGAAAATTCAGTAATTGTTCTATTCTGTTGTTTTCTACTTCAAAAGGAAATTGCTTATTTAAATAAAAATATTCACTTCTTATTATTCTATCTTGACAAATGAAAATTTTCTTATATTTTTATGTGCTTCTGTTTCACATCTATTTTAATGCTTATGATCAAATTTGAGGTAATTTATGTGTTTAGATTTAATCAGTACCAAAGTCCTTGGGAAAACAAGACACTAATTGTCAAATGTGTTCATTGTTTTCTTCTTCCTGGGTTTAGTAGCCTTGAACATTTGACCTGAACATTTCATATCTTTATTATGTGGAAAAAAATCATCCCACAAAGAATGCTTGTGGGACTCCTCATCCTCTCATCCTTCTCTGTCTCTCTCTGTGTTTCCTCTCTGCCACCTCCCCTGATTCTAGTGAGTTGCTTTCCCAAAACATGTCTGAGGTGACTGCTATGATCTTTCCACATAGGATAACAAGGACCTGGAGTTGGACATCATCCCAGCAAGCCTTTCAGATCGTGAAGTCAAGCTACGGGACGCCAACCATGAAGTCAACGAAGAGAAGCGAAAGTCAGCTCGAAAGAAAGAGTATGTGTTGGGAGCTTCTGCCCAGTTCACAAGCTCCTCATGACTGTGCTTGATTTTCACTGCTCCCTGTCTTGTTTGACAGCTTAATGTGTATCATTCCAACCTACAGAGGTTGGAATGGATAGACATGATATTTCCATTGAATATATGGTATCACTCTGAAGACTTTTATGTCTGTTCTGCCCTTCATCTGAGTCTGCTTCATGGATCCCCACTTCCCAGAGAAAACCTTCCTTTTAGGGCAGCAAACTTCACAATCTCAAAACTCAATATGGACTAAGCCAAATATTCCTTGGTCCTCCAAATTAGTTCTCCCTTCTGATTTCCTCATTCATATCCATGGTGCCATTCCCCTCCTCGTTTTCTAACCTTGAAACTGTGAAGTAATCCTCAACTAGTCCCTTCGTCTTTTATAGCATTTCCTTCTTCAGCCTCTCATGTCTCTATCATTTTCCCCCATTCCCAAAGACTCCTATTTCTGGCCTCCTCACTATCTGTCTAGATTACTTAAAAAACATTCCCAGGCCTTCCTGCCCCATCCTTCACCCAGTTCACCTGGTGTGGATGCCAGATTTACCTTTTTAGTAGCATTTTGCTATTGTTATTACTAATACTCTTCCTACCACCAACACCTAAATGTTTTATGGACTAAACATTGTATTAACTGCCTTATACTTATTTTCTCATTGTATCTTACTAGTACTTCTCTCTGGTACCTATTATTATTCCTATTTTACATATGAGAAATAAGACTTAGAAAAGCTAAGCAACTTTGCCCAAATCATACAGATATTAAACAATGGAGTCAAAATGAAAATCAGTTCTATCTGTTCTTCACTACACTGAATACTATGACTCATTTTACCTGCCCCCAATTTTAAATGGTTTCATATTACCCCCAGGATAAAGATCAAATACCTCTAGAAGCTATCACTTAGGCTCACCTAAACCAATCTTATTTCAAAGTACTTTTCAATGCAAATGATAGACTTCAGTCAGATTATTTTTATTAACTCCTTTCATTTCTAAGAGAAGTTATATCTGTGTTGTGCATTATTCCTGACCTGGAATCCTTCCCATTTTGTTTTTCTTTCCCTTCCCTTCCATTCTCTCCCTCTTGTTCTTTCTTTCTGTTTGGCTTTATTTTGCCCATCTCTAAATCCTATTTATTTTAAAACACCCAGCCCATATCCTATGCCCTGTGAATCTTTATTTACAGTCTCCACTGCCATTGATCCTTTCTACCTTTATACTGATTCGTATTGTACTTGTTCAGCTGATTCCCAAGCATATAATTCTAAATAGATTATAAACTTGAGAACAGGAAATATTTTACATTCTCTCAGAGGCAGGGACTTGGCGAATAATGAAGATATTATAATTGATCAAGAAAAGCTTATAGAATATAATTAGATCTGGAGATTAAAAGCTTGGGAAGGGAAAGAAGTTATCTAGAATCACATAACAAATAGGACAGTAGCAACTTACTTGAAGTTGAAGGATGTAACATTGATCCAGAAGAAAGGAAGGCATCTCTGGAATGCCACATGACTCTTCCTCTGAGTTAGTCCAGGTATTCAGATTTCTGAGTCTTGGCCTGGTGAATAAAAGGATCTCAAAAGCAAAGAATAGGTACCTAGAGTTGGGTCCAGTGAATGATGTGTAGAGCTCAGGTTGTATAGCTGCCATTTATACCTACTCCCAGGTTAACAATAGCCTAAGAGGAAATGAGGCAAAGAGATTTGACAGAAAGAGAGTAGTGGAGGTTGTTACATTTCAAACATTTTGGGAGAATATGATGTTGCCTGAGATTTTCATAAATTGAACTGTATGTTTTCTCAGAAAAAGAGTGGATAGGATCCAGAATCCATTTAGGGAATTGGGACCAAGTTAATTCAATTCCTGCTCTGTTCTCTAAGTTTCTCAGCTCCATTCTCAGAAAGTCCTGATTCCAGATGGGCAAAATGCATTTTGCTTCTTTGGATTGGCAGGTACTTATTCACCCACATTTCACACTAATCAACAATTATGGAGAATTGGATAGTGAAAACAATGAACATTGTCAACTTCACTATCCATTTCTTGATCAGTTTGCTTTCTTTATGTTGATAGTACAAAGTCACACATATCCAGAGCTCTCCCAAGGGCTTTATGAAGAATATTTTGACAGATTCTTTTTGGTTAGTTCTGGGGAAAAAATACTGTGTCCTAAGATTTAAAAACCGTATGTAATCGATTCTATGAAAATGAAGTTAAACCATATGTCCCTTGGAGCTGAGGAAACTAAAGCTGTCCTGTGAGGTCAGAGCTTGTGTTTCATCTGGGGAGAGTATTAGTTTGTTTGGCCTGCTGTAATGAAATATGACAAATTGGTAGTTTAGACAACAAAAATATGTTCTTTTGCAGTTTTGGAGGCTAGGAGTCTGAAATCAGGGTGTTGTCAGCATTGTTTCCTTCTGGGAACTGGGAGTGACGGATTTGTTCTAGGTGTTTCGCCTTGCCTTATAGAAAGCCTTGTCATGTTTACATAGCAACCCCCCTTAATATACATCTGTGTAAAAATTTCCCACTTGTGAAGGACACCTGTCATTTTGGAATGAGGACCACTCATCTTCACTAGTTACATCTTCAATAATTCTATTCCAAGTTTGGTTACATTCCAGAGTTGAGATTTCAACACAAGAATTTTGAGGACACAATTCAACCGATAACAGGAGGAAAATAAGGAGACCATATATGGTCAAATCTTTCTGCTGGACACTCTCTGGGTCCCCAAAATGCCGGAAGAGGGAGGGGAATAAGAGAAGTATGGACAATAACACAAAGTGGGGTAAAGGATAATGAAGCTAAATAATAAAGAAGGGCAGGCAAAACTGCAGGAAAGAAGTTGGAAAAACCAGGGAGAAGGTAGAATGGCAGACAGTAAAATCAAAGACAACTTTGCAAAGCCTGTCCGATTATTTTCCTTCTGTTGTCCTTTTTTTTCCTAGTTTATGGTGTGTTAGAAATTTTGTTTATATGATTTTGTTTATTCGTGACAACATTCATGTATAGTCAACTGTTTTATAAATGAGAAGTCTGAGACTTAGAAAAGCAAATCCTACCTATAGTAAATGACAATATTAATTCAATTCTTGTCTAGCTCCAGAGCTAATCACTTTCCATGCCAGACAGTAAATATTTGTGTAAATATTCTTACTGAGTAGGAATAGTAGGAGAGTGCATAACTAGCTCCTGTAAAAAGGAATTTTTGAAATCAGTACTTTTTTTTAAAAGATTTATTTATTTATACAAGAACCGGGGTACAGGCCAGATGTTCAGGAGAGTGAGAGGATTCACCAGAGACAGAGCAGGGAACAGAACAGGCAGACTGACTGAAATACACTGCTGAGGGGAGCAGTGAGTGAGACAGGAGAGGTCTGCTGCACCATCTGGGCATCTCTCTGGCCGGCCGGGATCAAATCTGCGCTGCAGAGGCTGTGGACAACTTCACAGCGCTGAGCTCATCCTCCTGCACCACCAGGGAGACCCAATCAATACTTTAAGTAAGAAGGCCACTGCTATAATAATGTGTTGCTTTAAGAAAAATCCCACTAAAATAGATGTCCAGTAAAGGATGCATCTCATTTTAGTATTTCTTATGAAATTTCCAAAGAAAACTTTTAGGGAACAATCTTTGTCATAATTTTCATATAATGGAATACCTGAAAATAGAGGTTTTTCATTATAAACTACCATAAAAAGATGACATAGAAAATCTAAGATACATGTATAAACATATAGTTTGTGCCATATTAAATATTATTGCATTTTTGTATGCCAGCTAACAAGCATCATTTCTAATGAAGATTTGCAAAATTAAAAAACAATGTGAAGTCATGCATCATAATAATCCATTGTGACATTAGGGAATCCTCACACTGAAAATATGTGTACAGTTTCTCTTTCTGGGTGGCTGAAGTGCAGTCACTTAAATTGTTAACTTACACTGTATTTGTGATCACTCGCTCAGCTTCATGCACATCAGTTTGTGGTATAAATGAGCCCTATTAGAAATAGTGTTGAAGTTTTCAGGATAATCTAGGCCAGATGTCAGCACACTATGGTCCACAGGCCAAATCTGATGCATTGCCTGGCTTATATAGTCTACAAGCTAAGTATTATATTTTCAAATAGTTGAAAAAAATCAAACAAAGAATATTTTTGGACATGTGAAATTAGATGAAATTCAGATTCCAGTGTCCCTAACTAGTTTTTTGGAACACAGCCATGCTTATTTTTTTCTTCATACTGTCTATGGTCCATTCATGCTACAACAGCAAAGTTGAGTGGTTCTAATATAAATTGAAGAGCCCACAAATATTTACTGTCTGGCTCTTTATAGAAAAATTTGCTCCTTCCATCTCTATAGTGGTGTCTTGGGCCTCTGTTCTTGGCTTGTAAACCTAATTTAACTTACAGTACTTTGAACTTTAACTTACAGTACTGTTATGGTATAAGTTAACAATTCCACTGAACAGAAAGATCATTCTGGGTGCTATAGGATAAATATAGGAAGTGGAAATGTAAACTGTCTAGTTGGTAAGATCAGATATGAATGGTGCTGAATGCCTAGCCATACATGCAGCTGGAAACATGTGTATCAACACACAGACACAAAGCAGTAGAACTGGGATGTGAATAGAAGAGATTATGGAGTTAGCTGAGCACAGATGCTTTGCTGACAGGCTCCAGAGCAAAGGGTTGAAGGAAAGAGACTCAGCAGATAATACTCAGAGGCAGGAGTTTTGAAGAAATGAAGAGATACCTGTTGATGAAGTAGAAAAATAGGACATTCAAGAATGTCATAAATGGAAGTGGAGAAGTGAAGTATTATACCTCTGACCAACTAAAAGCTCATTTGTTTCCTCTAGATTCATCATGGCTGAACTGCTCCAGACAGAGAAGGCTTACGTAAGGGACCTACATGAGTGCTTAGAGGTGAGTCTTGCAGCATTTAGCTCACATCTGTAGGAAAACGACATCCTTGTGTCAGCGCTCAGTCAGCGCCCACTGCTTTGTCGTCTCTCCAAGCTAAGAAACAATAGTCAACCAGAGGAGACCTTACTTCCAGAGTCAACAGTAATTGCATGGGAATTTAAAGTGCTTTTGAAAAGAAACTTCTCACACTGGAACTAGACCCAGCCAAAAAAAAAACTATAGAAGACACTTCAAAATAAAAATCATAACACAATTAGTGAACTCAAGTTGACTGTGAAAATCTGCCTCCTCCCCAAACACATACACACACGCGCACACATGCACTTAACAAATAAGAGTGTGGTATATGTGCTCTTCTAAAGTTTATGGTGTGAGTGTCCCTAGCAACTGTTCAAGATAATGGAACATTCAGGTTTTCCTTCTTAACATGCTGCTTATTAACTCCCTTACTTTTTACACTGTATGTGAATTCCCAGGTCTGAGTCTTACTCCACAAGTTGGATGGTAATTTGCTTTCTCTATATTTCATGTGCAGTACTGGTCAGTGATGAAACTATTGCTTTCTTACAGACCTACCTGTGGGAAATGACCAGCGGTGTGGAGGAGATCCCCCCTGGGATCCTTAATAAAGAACATATCATCTTTGGCAACATCCAGGAGATCTACGATTTTCATAACAAGTAGGTTGGGGAGGATTCCAGGGGAGAGCACTTAGGTTCATAAATAACAAACAACGGGGTTCCCATTGTGATTCAAAGCTGATTTGGTAAATCCCATCTGATAAAGTATTACCTGGCATATTTTCTAAGTTAATTGCTGTCCAACTTCTTTCCCCATTCTTTCTTTCTTCCTCTGCAGTTGCCCCAAATTCCTAATACTGGCAGGTATTCAGCCATATTCCTCCTCAATTTTCTTCAGGTACCTAACTGGCAACATTTTCATACTTAATCAGAATGATTACCAGGAAGAAAATAAAAGTTGCTTCTCCCATTAAAACATGTAGGAATCCTGACTCTAGACTCCATGTGAGGTTGACCATTGTACCCTGTGGGCCTTGGGTTTCAAATTTCATTTGTTTTTTTCAACCTAAATATTTCTTCAGTCCCCAAACAACAATAACAAAAATAAGTTGATAGACAGATAATCAAAATACCTAAGTGGAACATATGTCTTGATAGCTTATAGGAGAGAACATCTGTTGACCATCTATGTTTTATTGAAATATGTACAGTCAGAGAACCCTAATCACAACTAATTTGTCCAGTTCCTAACTTAAGAATCTTTCCCACAGCTTACAAAATGACATGGTCCTTGTTAACAGAGGATAAATAAGAAACTGGCGTGACTAGTTATGTGACCAACTAATGAAAATAACTCAGTTTCCGAAGTACTAATAGAGGGACTCCCAACACACAAGGGTAATACTGGCATAAAGTCAAAGTCTAGCATTCTCTCAGGATCCTGGCTCAATTTTGCAGGACACATTTCAGAGGAAATCCCAGGATCAGGCTAGTCAAGGCTTTCACTGATGTTAGTAGCCATGTCAGAAATAAAATTCCTGACTCCAGGAGTTCCTAAGGAGGCCACATGTGCAGGCACAGCAGCATCCTGAAGCAGAACTCTAGAATAGCACTTTCAATGGAGCTTTCTGCAGGGAGGGAAATGTCCCCATCTGTGCTGTCCAGTGCAGTTGCCACTAGCCATGTGTGACTGTGAGCACTTGAACAATGACTAATGTTACTGAGAAATGAATCTTTAACTTAATTTTATAGCTTGATAGGGCAAGTAGCTCCCATATGGGACAGTCCAGCTCTAGAAAATGAGGTCTCAATATGACTCTTTGCGAAAAATGACTAAGAGACAGGCAAAAATTGGGCGTAAGGAAGGACCTTGATTTCCGAAAGGCCTAAATAAGCGATGCAGAGTCACTCCTTTCTTGTCAGCTCCTGATGATTAATCCCATTATGTCATTAATAGCATGTTTAAAGAAAATAAAATATGTAGCTCCTATGACATGTTAACCTTACCAGATTATGAAAGCAGTAAGGCCTCACAGGAAAAAACTTCTTTCTATACTCTGGAATACTTAATAAAAGTTCCCAGGTTTTTTTGTAATTTATTTAATCATAAATGTTAGCACTCTCCATTTGGATTGTCTGGAACTTGCCAAACATGGAAATATTCTCTCCTAATGCACATTAAATAACATTCCAATAAATCTATTTTGACCAAATCCTGTCATCTGGGCGGGCCCAGCTCAACATTATCCTATGTCCTCCTGAATATTTGAGAAACTCAATAGCTTCTAGTAAGCATAAGTTGTGTTACTTTATTTTTCTGATTTATAATCTCTGGGATTTAATTAACTTTCTCTATAATCTTACCAAATTGACTAAGTATAGATATGTATACATCACAACATGCTTTTCCTATGAGTCCTGCTTTTGCCAAATAAATATGTAGGGGAAAAAATATCCATTTCAGAATTGACTAACTGCTACAAAACATCTAGCTTAACCTTGCCTCTTATTCTGGTTTCATGATATCATGGCAGTAAACCATATTAAGCAGTTTGGTAAATTTTTTAATAGCTGAAAATCTACCTACTAAAAAATATAGTTCTTATAAGCCCTTTTTAAAAAAAGTCAAGTTAGACCTTATAAAATGCTATATTCTATAAATAGGGGGATAAATTAAATTGTCAAGAACATAGCTACCCAGCAAATGTTACCTATTTATAACATTATAAACAAGAAAAAAAAAAAGCTCTAAACAGTTGAAAAAAAGTATTACAATAATAAAGTGCTTATCTTTTCATAGAAGCACCTCTTCTTTCTCCTTCAAAGCCACTGTACTTCTTGGTTGTATTGTTTCTAAACCCATAGTGATTTAGAAACAGCAAATAAGACTTGGAATTTGAACAAGTAGTTTAATACCTGAAGCAGAAAGTAAAACCTGATAGTAAGAAGGCAGATAAGTTGCAAAAAATAGGCAAAAGAATCCCAAAAGCTCATACTAGTCATGTGCTACTCAATATTGGTGCAAGTGATCCTACATGCCAACATGGAGCCTAACACAGCCACTGCATTGGCATAATAATTGATATTTAGTATTAATTCTGATTCATTAGCATGTTATTAATTTTAAAAAATGGACATCTCTAATGTATTTAGAAAGCTATTCACAAAAAAATATAATTTTAGAACATCCAAGAATAGAACATCCAAGAAAAGCTAAATATTAATTCCCTACAGAAGCTGGAAGGCTAAGGTTTTTCTTAAGTCATAATGTTTGCTTTCTACCCGTGCATTACAAATTTTGATTAACAGAAAAAGTATAATACCTCTAAACTCTAATAAATAAGAGATAAAATGGCATTAAGTTAACTCTGAAAATGAGGGAACTCTGAACTGTGTAAGAGACCATGTCTTTCACTGCATAACCCCAATATCTGGTACATAGTAAACATTCATTTATTATTGGATGGATGGATGGATGGATGGAGAAACAAAATAGAATTACAATTTTCAGACATATAACTAACCAATCAAGTATTAATTCAGTCATTTGTGAATGTTTCAAGACAAGGAAAATCATTAGGTATGATTTTCTTTCTCCATTGCTATCAGAACTTTTTGATCTGCAAAATAATTGAATATCTGAATGAAAGCTTTCTAGGAGCTTCTTAACGAGAGGACCATGCAATGATCCAAACACCTACTTGCTCTTCAGAAATAATTAATTACCTGAAAACATTCAGGTAACCTGAATGTTAACCTGAAAAGCCAAAGGTTCTTTTTAACCCCATTTGTTTGCATCTTTCTTAAGTTACGATGAAGTATTACCTAACAGAGAACTATACTCCTCTCATTTCTAGTGCATAGCTCAGGTTATATGCCTATAATACAGAAAGAGAGAGAAAGGGAGGCAGGGAGGAAGCCTGGAAGATGGAGAGGCAGAGGGAACAAGATTGACACTGCCTAGATAACCCAATCAGTTGAATCACTAGGAAATTAGTATCTAGATCAAGTGTAATATGATGAATATGTTAATAGCTTCCCTAGTTAGTACTGATCCTTCTAAATGATGTCATTTTGAAAAATGACAACCAAGATTAGTTTTGCATGTGTCCTTGCATGTGCAGGCATGTACACATGGCACACCTGTGTTATCTTTCTGAAGGACCTTTGTCAATGTAGGTATTGAGTGGAGAAATTTCCAAGTGCCAGCATTTCTATAAATAACAATTCAGTATATTTAATATAATTTCCAGACATGGTGGTTTTAACATAAATTAGAGGTTTAAGTGGAGGGATACTTTTTCTCTCACTGTCCCTATTTTCTAGTGTCATTTTTCCTAAAGAACTAAATATATAGATCATGACACTTACCTACACAAAAACTAGAGCCATTTCTACTGCATTTTACAAAACATTCCGGGAGCACCCAATAAGATAGTATCTCCCGTAAAGAGATCCCCCAATGGTAATGATTATCAGACTTTCTTCTTTGGTAAGGACATCTGTTTGTTCATCACTTTCAGTTAAATCTTAGTTTTTCCTTTAAGTTATTTGGAGATGTGAGAGTCTGAACAATAACATTCTTAGAATATCTCTGCTGTTAGGGCTCAAAGGATCGTCAGCACCATCAAGTACATTTATCTCCATTTACAGAGATCCAGAGAGGAGCCAGTGACTTCCCCAATGCATGACATCCCCCCTTTAGGAGTTTGGTCTCCCATTTAATCCTGTCACTCTCCTCCTCCCACTCCATAGACTGCCAGCTGGAATAACTGAATCTGGTTGATTTGATTCATGTCTAACCAGCTTCCATGTGGCTTCCCAAATTTGAGGACTGTTTCAATCTACTTCTTTCACAAGCCCCACACCCTTACAACATTACTTGAAATAAGTCAGTTTTCAGCAAGAGTTGGAAATGCAAATGGAGGACCCATGGCCAAGCTAGGTATCCTTCTTGCATAGTTCATCCTTCCAGACCAGGCCAGAAGCCATCAGGTTTGCTCTTGAGCACTCCCACTGCACACCAGCCTGGTGTAGCCCTCCCCAAAGCTGAGGGTGGAGAGTCTGAACTGTGTGGGACTGAACTTGAAGTCCTGGCCAGGCCAGGGTCAGCCTACAAGGGTGCAGGTTCAGGGTGGCCATGGTCAGCCAGGGGCATGTGTAGTGAGTAGCAAGGGGTAAAGACAGGTGTGGGAAGTGAGGGGAACCACTTGGGAACAATAGAACAGGGCCCATATTTTCTTTCTTTTTTTAATTTTATTTTTATATTCCCCATACAATTGCAACCCCCTTATTTTGACCCCAATCCCTCCTTTCCACACTCCCCAACCCCCATAGTGTATCTCTGGTTCATAGTTGTTTGTTGATTTTGATTTTTTCTTTCTTATAGTTATTCTTTTTCCTGGTCCCTTATTTAGGTTTTCTAGATTCCTGCTGTGAGTGAGACCATCCAGTATTTTTCTTTTTCTTTCTGGCTTATTTCACTGAGCATGATTCCTTCCAGTTCCATCCATGTTGCTGCAAATTGCATGTGTTTATCTTTTTTGAATGCTGAGTAATATTCCATGGTGTATCCAGTCAAAAAATGGGCAGAAGAGCTAAAAAGAAACTTCTCCAAAGAGGAAATGCAAATGGCCAACAGGCATATGAAAAAATGTTCA